CGCTCCTCCTTGGCCGAGCATCCCAGGGAAGTGATGTCAAGTCCTTTGACTTCCAGAACTACCGCTACAAGCGGCTCCGAGAGATCCAAACCCATGTCAAAAAGTTCTGGAAGGCATGGTGCCAGCTTGCGGGCCCAAACCTGTTCATTAGGTCCAAGTGGCACACCACAGAGATAAATGTATCTATCGGTGATATTGTTTGGCTCTATGTTCAAAATGCCTTGCATGGCCAGTTTAGACTTGGCCGAGTCGTCACTGTAGCTCCTGACCCAAAGGGCATTGTCAGAGATGCTGAAGTGCTTGTCACCCCAGGCAACCATGTTTCAGACTTACCTCCACAACCAGCGGCCCACTCCTCATCTTCTGGTGACCGGAAAAAGAGACCAAATGGTGTGATACTGCGCAGAGACGTTAGACGAAATGTAGTTCTACTCCCTGTAGAAGAGCAGTAACCCTACCATTTAAGCTGTTCGCCTTTATAGTCTGCAACCTTTCTGTCCAAGTACAGAAAGCTTGAGTGGGAGGTGTTGCGGCAAAGGCCCCCTTTTTGTTTACATCAGCTGTTTAAGCGTAAGCGCGCAGCTTACCAACGTGCAATCAATCAGTCAATCAAAAGGTGAGACAAACTTCCTAGTTTAAGCAGAGGATCGCATCATGAAACTAAAAAGCCCCCGTTTACTCGGGCAGTGGAAGAAGCTGTGCAAAATTTGTATTGAGGAAGCAAAGGACTGAACAGACAGCGGGTAAGCTTGCATTTAATCCTGTTGTGAATAGATTATACAGGTAAAAGCCAGTAAATTAGAATATTTTGAAAAAGTTGATTTATTTCAGTAATTGCATTCAAAAGGTGTAACTTGTACATTATATTTATTCATTGCACACAGACTGATGCCTTCAAATGTTTATTCCATTTAATTTTGATGATTTGAAGCGGCAACAAATGAAAATCTAAAATTCTGTGTGTCACAAAATTAGAATATTACTTAAGGCTAATACAAAAAAGGGATTTTTTAGAAATGTTGGCCAACTGAAAAGTATGAAAATGAAAAATATAAGCATGTACAATACTCAATACTTGGTTGGAGCTCCTTTTGCCTCAATTACTGCATTAATACGGCGTGGTATGGAGTCGATGAGTTTCTGGCACTGCTCAGGTGTTATGAGAGCCCAGGTTGCTCTGATAGTGGCCTTCAACTCTTCTGCGTTTTTGGGTCTGGCATTCTGCATCTTCCTTTTCACAATACCCCACAGATTTTCTATGGGGCTAAGGTCAGGGGAGTTGGCTGGCCAATTTAGATGCTGGTAGACGGCTGCATTGACCCCGGATCTCAGGAAACAGAGTGGACCGACACCAGCAGATGACATGGCACCCCAAACCATCACTGATGGTGGAAACTTTACACTAGACTTCAGGCAACGTGGATCCTGTGCCTCTCCTGTCTTCCTCCAGACTCTGGGACCTCGATTTCCAAAGGAAATGCAAAATTTGCTTTCATCAGAAAACATGACTTTGGACCACTCACCAGCAGTCCAGCCCTTTTTTTCCTAAGCTCTAAGGTGAGCCTTTTCGCACTGTTTCTTGGTCAACAGAGGCTTGACATGAGGTATGCGGCAGTTGAAACCCATGTCTTTCAAGCGGCTCTTGGTGGAGGATCTTGAAGCACTGACTGGTTGAACTGTAAAGTGCCTTGAGATGACATGTGTTGTGAATTTGGCGCTATATAAATAAACTGAATTGAATTGACTCCAGCAGCTGTCCACTCCTTGTGACTCTCCCCCACATTTTTGAATGGGTTTATTTTCCCAATCTTAACTAGGGCGCGGTGATCCCTATCGCTTGTACACTTTTTCAGATCACAGTTTTTCCTTCCCTTTGCCTCTCTATTAATGTGTTTGGACACAGAGCTCTAAGAACAGCCAGCCTCTTCAGCAATAACCTTTTGTGTCTTTCCCTCCTTGTGCAATGTGTCGATGGTCGTCTTTTGGACAGCTGTCAAATCTGAAGTCTTCCCCATGTTTGTGTAGGCTTCAGAACTGGACTGAGAGACCATTTAAAGCCCTTTGCAGGTGTTTTGAGTTAATCAGCTGATTAGTTTGTGGCACCAGGTGTCTTCAAAATTTAACCCTTACACAATATTCTAATTTTGTGACAAACGGAATTTTGGATTTTCATTTGTTGCCACTTCAAATCATCAAAATGAAATTGATGGGCAAGTGACTTTCACATTTCATTTGCCCAGAAAACAATTTTCACTTGCCCAGTAAAATGTTTGATAAATATAGTTCCTAATATTAATTTTTGTAAATACATCAATGACTGTTTTTTGTAATTCAGTATTTTTTAACTTTCCAGGTTCCTGGTGTGTATATACATGCGTCAGATAATGAACTCAAGCCTACATTACTGTGTTAACATGCTTTTCAATCCTTCCTGCACTTTCTTTTCAAACTAAACTTTGCTTTAAACTGATGTGTGCTTGAAAAATATAAATTGTAATGTTAAAAATCTAAAAAAAACTTGACAGGTTAAAAACTTAAGATAAATCACAAGACAGAAGTCAATGTCACAAATGAATAACTTATTTTAGAGTCACGGTATGTTTATTCAAGATAATACTATTAATATAATGTGACTTTTCTAGAGAATCATTATACATAGTTATTTTATTCAGGGTTTCCACAGTCTGACATCATTTCAGAATTCCCTGACTTTTAACTGACTCAGGATTAGTTTTCCCTGACAAAATAAATGCAGCAACAAGACAATAATAAGAACATAACAGGTCACAAATCTAACATGTTTAGCTCTGTAATATTTAAATGCACCTCTCCAATGTCGAAGAGAAAAAATGTAATGAAAATTTTTTAATGTATGACCTGCATCACAGTACAGAAGACTGCAATATGATAGCGCTTTCTAGCTTGTTTGTTGTTTTGGTAACTATATCAAAATTACTGCTAGGTGGACAGAAATCCCGCCATTTGGCGGAAAATCCCCCGGCTTTTTCAAATCACGTGAGAATGTGTACAAAACAACAAAAATGGCGCTGGCAACACATCTGGGTTGTTTTCATCGAATGTCGGTGATTTTAAAGTAATTTTGAGTGATAATTCTTTTTTTGCGATCATTGCATTTGCCCACCGGACAAGTGCAATGAAATTTGTACTCTCCCGACAATAAAAACTACTTGCCCAGGGGAGATCGGGCGATAGTTAACATTGAGCCCTGCAATGATTTATGTTATTAGATAGTTACAAATTCTCAGTAATAGTTACAGCTGCTGACTACTATCAGATGATACTGGCTTACTTTTGACCGTATATAATGTAGCTAGCTAGGGTAACCCCTAAAAGCTAATGCTAGCTTATGTCAGCTAACGGTACCTTAAAGCCTCTCTTAAACATATACCCCACTCCAAGCATTCAAATCATTTGACCCTGCACTGGATATTTGGAGCCTAAAAAAACCCAGCAGAAAATGAATGAACATGAAGTCATCTCTTATTGGAAGACCGATTGTTAAAGTTTGTTGGATGTTCATCACGAGTAGACGTCACCTGAGTAGCTAAAACAAAGTAGATCCTACATCACTATACGATAAACATACACTATATTGCCAAAAGTATTTGCTCACCCATCCAAATTATTGGAATCAGGTGTTCCAATCACTTCCATGGCCACAGGTGTATAAATTCAAGCACCTAGGCATGCAGACTGTTTTTACAAACATTTGTGAAAGAATGGGTCGCTCTCAGGAGCTCAGTGAATTCCAGCGTGGAACTGTGATAGGATGCCACCTGTGCAACAAATCCAGTCGTGAAATTTCCTCGCTCCTAAATATTCCACAGTCAACTGTCAGCTGTATTATAAGAAAATGGAAGTGTTTGGGAACGACAGCAACTCAGCCACGAAGTGGTAGGCCACGTAAACTGACGGAGCGGGGTCAGCGGATGCTGACGCGCATAGTGCGAAGAGGTCGCCAACTTTCTGCAGAGTCAATCACTACAGACCTCCAAACTTCATGTAGCTCAAGAACAGTGCGCAGAGAGCTTCATGGAATGGGTTTCCATGGTCGAGCAGCTGCATCCAAGCCATACATCACCAAGTGCAATGCAAAGCGTCGGATGCGGTGGTGTAAAGCACGCCGCCACTGGACTCTAGAGCAGTGGAGACGCGTTCTCTGGAGTGACGAATCGCGCTTCTCCATCTGGCAATCTGATGGACGGGTCTGGGTTTGGCGGTTGCCAGGAGAACGGTACTTGTCTGACTGCATTGTGCCAAGTGTAAAGTTTGGTGGAGGGGGGATTATGGTGTGGGGTTGTTTTTCAGGAGCTGGGCTTGGCCCCTTAGTTCCAGTGAAAGGAACTCTGAATGCTTCAGCATACCAAGACATTTTGGACAATTCCATGCTCCCAACTTTGTGGGAACAGTTTGGAGCTGGCCCCTTCCTCTTCCAACATGACTGTGCACCAGTGCACAAAGCAAGGTCCATAAAGACATGGATGACAGAGTCTGGTGTGGATGAACTTGACTGGCCTGCACAGAGTCCTGACCTCAACCCGATAGAACACCTTTGGGATGAATTAGAGCGGAGACTGAGAGCCAGGCCTTCTCGTCCAACATCAGTGTGCGACCTCACAAATGCGCTTCTGGAAGAATGGTCAAAAATTCCCATAAACACACTCCTAAACCTTGTGGACAGCCTTCCCAGAAGAGTTGAAGCTGTTCTAGCTGCAAAGGGTGGACCGACGTCATATTGAACCCTATGGATTAGGAACGGGATGTCACTTAAGCTCATATGTGAGTCAAGGCAGGTGAGCAAATACTTTTGGCAATATAGTGTACTTTCCATATGTCCCACTGTTTGTTGCTGTCCTCTGAACATCAGCTAGCATACATGAGGTGGTGTTGTCAAGTTATGGATGGTTTCTAGCTTCAGCTCCTCCCCAAACTTGAAAACGGCTGGTCATCACCAAGAAGGACGCTAGGCACAACTCAAATCCTTTTCCATTTTTGCTTTTTATTTGGGATCTAGGATTGGGATTTAGGTTGAAAACCTTTCAAACAAATTGACAAACAGAAGTGTATTAGTTTAAAACAAACAATTTGACCAACAGAAACTGAATTAGTTCAAAACAAAGATTTTCCACTGTGGCTCACCCATAAGCACAAACAAACTGAATATTACCAGGCCACGAGCCATACTGCAATATCTTTTAACTCAACCTCAACTTTTTTTTTTTTTTTTCAATAAACAATATTATAATAATAGCTAACTTTGCTTGCCAGGAGCCAGTCTCTCCCTCTGTCTGTCAAAACTGCCACACATGGGTGTGCAGGTGTTTTAATCATAGGAAGGCCCAACCCCCAACACAAGTTCACTCCTCTTTTCTCCTGTGCTTCTTTTTTGACATGACAAGCGTTAAATATGCTAACGCTGTTGCGACCGATAGAAGGGCCACCTGCAGTAGGTTAACGAAGTGTCCGATGTTTTCCTGGTATCAATGGGCCCAGAAGAGCCGCTTTAAGGTCCAGTTTAGTTTAACTCATTCAGCACAGGATCAGAAAACCAGATGTTTTCATTCTGCAGGTCAGACCCTTTTGCAGTGCTTCTTGTGGCACAGCAAGTGGCTGGATTGTCTGAAGGTTTTCCCACACAGTTTGCAGGAATACGGCTTCTCCCCCGTGTGCGTCCTCATGTGGTAGCTCAGCCCATTCCATCGACTGAAGGTTTTGTGACACACTTTGCAGGTAAACGGCTTCTCTCCTGTGTGAACCCTCATGTGGATTTTCATACAGTTCCTCCTGACGAAGCCCTTCCCGCACACGCTGCAGGGGAAGGGCTTTTCCCCTGTGTGAGTTCTGACGTGACAGGTCAGGGCGTTGCTCTGGCTGAAGGTCTTGTTGCAGATGTGGCAGGAGAAAGGCTTCACCCCCGTGTGCGTCATCATGTGGTACCTCAGCCCCTCCCCTCGTCTGAAGGTTTTGTGACACACTTTGCAGGTAAACGGCTTCTCTCCTGTGTGAACCCTCATGTGGATGTTCATAGCGCCCCTCCTGCTGAAGCCCTTCCCACACACGCTGCAGGGGTAGGGCTTTTCCCCTGTGTGAGTTCTGACGTGACAGGTCAGGGAGTTGCTCTGGCTGAAGGTCTTGTTGCAGATGTGGCAGGAGAAGGGCTTCTCACCGGTGTGCCGCCTCAGGTGGCGCACCAGGTGACTGTTCAAGCCGAACTTTTCCCCGCAGATCTTACAGGAGAAGGGCTTTTCACCGGTGTGCGTAATCATATGGCGGAAGGCACTGTGCTGATGGGTGAAGCGCCGCGTACAGAGCTCACAGGAGTAAGGCTTCTCGTTCTGGTGCGTGTCTCGGTGGTCTTGCAGCAGCAACATGTTGGAGAACTTTTTGCCACAGGTCTTACAAACAAAGGGTTTGGGTTCATTCGAGTCTTCGGACTGCTGGGAGCTCACTTCTTCCTGCTCCTCTTTAATCTGTAGAAACCCTGGTTTCTTTGAATCCACACTGAGGAACCTTTCGGGCTCAGTTGGAACGTCTTCCTGATAAACACGGTTCTGTTCTGTTAAGAAAAAAAAGAATCAGAAAAAAGCAAGTTAGTCCACAGAGCTAAACCATAAAAAAACAGTGGAGTCTCAGCTGGTTCTGCACTAACGGGTCGACTAGGAGGAGCTCCGGTCTGGTCACTCTCAATATTTCTGCATCCGTTTTTGTGCACTGGCTATTAATTTATATGAACAGAACTGTTAGAAATATTTTATTTATACTCCGTTTGTGTTTCATGGGTTGTGTATTAATGAACTATTATGATGTATAATGTGTGATTCATCGTTTATTAACTCTTGCTAAATATCGTTCCAGATACAGGTCATGCAACGGACGGGTTGTGAAGGAGGCCTGAACATCCTCTATCACACGTTTCTTCTAAACATGTGTTCTTGGAACAATTCAATTGTAAAACAACCACATGCTTTGTTTTAACATATGTGCTGAGGTTTAAAGTAAGATAATTTTGTTTCCCTTTCCATTAGTTAAGCCTCAGCTTGTGTAATTAGGGACATCCCTGACTTCAATAAATAGTGAGGAGAAAGCTGAAGACCGGCAGAGTGGGTTGGAGATTGTAAACTCCGCAGTCTCTTCTTACTCTCCTCGCGAGTAACTAAATTAATTGTCTCTGGGCCTTCTTTTTTTCCCTGTATGTATGTATGACGTTTTAGGTGCTTAGACCTGACAAGAATCTATTAAATATCTATTTATTATTACTATTATTATAAAATATAGCTTGTAATTATGGCTATAGCAAACAATGATTTTAGTGATCAGTGATTTTATCTTATTTTTATTATTTATTGAGAAACTGCTTAAAAACAGTAATACTCTAAAGAATATTCATCCATTTACCTAAACTTATTCTATGATTAATTGGAATACATAGAAAAAAAATGCTAAAACTTCAGATTTTCCTTTCAATACAAAACCAAAAAGAAGGATGCTGGAAAGCATGGAGCATGTCTGGTGTAGTGTATCGTGTTTGGCACTGACGATAGGCCCCGCCCTTCCACTACACCCACTTCTGCTCTCATCAACAGTTTGTTTAAATGTTTGTTATTCAGTGGGAATAAAATAGTGTTGAAAAACTAACAATTAAATTAATTAAATTTCCTATTAAACAATCATAATAATTATGGATGAATAGGAATTAAAGTGAGAATAACAAACTAAAAAGTTGATGGTTTGACCAACAAGTTAAAGCCCGGCTCACATCGATTGTGACGACTTTTTAATCTCCAATCCCATTTATTCACACTGAAAGTATATAGAGAGGCTTCGACCAGGCAGGCTGAGCAGATCTAGATATGTGGAGTTTTTTGTTTACTTCGGTCTCTGTGCCCAAAGAACTGAAAAACTGTCCCATATTTGACTGGGAAGGATTATAAAAAACAAAACGGCGCTTCCCCTACTTCATGACTCTGTGCCTATATTAAATACACCACAGGAACTACATAAAAAGAAAAGGAAAATGCAGCAATAAAGGCTGTGGGGCGGTTTGTATGCTGGATGAGGCAGAGAGGCGATTCTCAGAGAAAGATCTGTGAAGTTTGTTCAAGTTTTTTTTCTTTTTTCATAAAGAGGATAGAGTGATGAGCTGCACTTACTTCCCTTTGTTTCTCTCAGATAGAGTGATAAACTGCTCTTTCTTACCCTCGATGTTTTGTTTTTGAGAGGTTAAAACTGGATCACTACTTTTTCTGTTTTCTGTCCCCCTGAACTCCTAGCATGGTATTCTTTTTTTAAATGTTTCTTTGATTTTTGTGCCAGTCTGCCCCGCCTGCTTTATATTTGCTGTACGACTCCAATCCTGACAGTTTTCCCTGAGATTGACACATTTTAGCCCCTTTTACTCTACCCTTTTGAAACTGTGCTGAGATTAATTAATCCTGTTTGGATTAACTGAGTGTGCAGCTGTCCAGAGGAACTCCATCTGAAGTTAAGTTATTTTCTCTGTGATATCTCTGTATCTAAGTAACTCTGACTACTTTAAAACATAGCACCTTCTGCTGCACTTTTCTACTGAGCACTTGTCAGTTTCACACGGTTTTATTTCTGATAGGAAAGAGTAGCTAGCCTAGGCTGGCGCTAGCTTAGCATTGCTATGGCTTCTCTCTCTCCCTCCCTTGACTCTTTTCCAACTCTTCCTTCTTCCTCTCCTCTCTCCTGCTCTCTGTGTCAGATGTTCAGTTATTCCTCTGCCTCCTTTAGTGATAATGGGATGTGTAATAAGTGTAGTATTTTTGTAGCTTTGGAGGCGAGGGTGTCGGAGTTAGAATCCAGGCTTCAGGCTGTTGAACATCCAGGAGTTAAAGTAGGCCCCCCACGTAGCTGTCCTCCAAAAGTGCCTGAGCAGCCAGGCGATTGGGTAACTGTACGCAGAAAGCGTAGTCGTGGATCTCTGCCCACTGGTCACCACCAACCCGTTCACGTTTCTAACCGGTTTTCCCCACTCTGTGACACACCCACTGAGAAGCCCACTCTGGTGATTGGCAGCTCCATAGTCAGAAACGTGGCATTAGAGACACCAGGGAACATAGTCAAATGTTTGCCGAGGGCCAGAATGGGCGACATCAAATCCTACCTGAAACTACTGGCTAAGGATAAGGTTAAATACAGTAAGATTGTTATTCACCCTGGTGGTAATGACACCCGGTTACGCCGATCGGAGGTCACTAAAATTAGTGTTGCTTCCGTGTGTAAGTTTGCCAAAAAAATGTCAGACTCCGTAATTTTCTCTGGTCCCCTCCCTGATCTGACCAGTGATGACATGTTAAGCCGCATGTCGTCATTCAACCGCTGGTTGTCTAGGTGGTGTCCTGAAAACAACGTGGGCTACATTAATAATTGGCAATACTTTTGGGGAAAGCCTGGTCTGATTCGGAGAGACGGCATCCATCCCACTTTGGATGGTGCAGCTCTTCTTTCTAGGAATCTGGCCACATTTATTAGTCCTCCAAAACCCTGACCACCCAGGGTGCAGACCAGGAAGCAGTTGTAGTTTAACACACATCTCTGCAGCTTCTCTACTGTTACCCACTCTTTACTCCATCCAGACAGTGTCTTGCCCACGACCAAAATCTAATAAATTAGCAAATATTCCCAAAGGAGTAAATGATGATAATCTAATTAAAATCAAAATAACTCCAACCTGGCTGCAGCAAGAGGATTATGTGAGCATAAATGAGGCAACTCCTTCAAGCTATTTAAATTTTCACATACCCAGAATTCTGGGCGAGGAGGAGGAGTAGCAAGAATCTTCCAGTCTGACTTACTGATTACTCCCAAAACAGTTAATACCTACAACTCTTTTGAACATTTAACCCCTAATTTCCCTGATCCAAATTTCAAGGCAAGAAAACCTCTTCTTTTTGTAACTTTGTATCGTCCACCAGGTCCTTACTCTGAATTTTTTGATGAGTTTTCAGAGTTCCTTTCTGATTTGGTATTAAAAACTGACAGGGTCATCATAGTGGGAGATTTTAACATCCATGCTGACATTGAAGGCGATAGCTTAAGAGCAGCCTGTAATGCTATCTTTGTTCAAAATGTGAATAGTCCCACACATTCTCACCTTCATACTTTGGATCTTGTGCTGACATACGGCATAGAATGTGAAGAAATAACAGTATTTCCTCACAACCTTGTCCTCTCTGACCACTTTCTAATAACCTTCAGGATTACTTTAACAGAGTTCACCTCCCCCAAAAGAAGGTTACATTTTAGTAGATCTTTATCAGATAGTGCAGTTATAAATGTTAAAGAATCTGCTTCACTTTCTCTCTCCTCTATGTCGCTGAGCAGTGCTGCAGAGTGCAAAAGCATAGCTTATTCCCCTTCACAGGTTGATGATTTTGTTGATGGGGTTGCTAGTTCTCTGCGTACTGCCTTAGACAACGCTGCTCCTTTGAAAATGAAAACCATTAAAAATAGAAAGCTTGCTCCTTAGTTTAATGCAGAGCTGCGTACTTTGAAGCAAAATGCTAGGAAACTGGAGAGAAAATATCGCTCCACAGGCCTGCGGGAGTCCTTCCTAGTCTGGAAAAATAGTTTAATGCTGTATAGGAGGACCCTTTGTAAAGCAAGAGCAGCATACTTCTCCTCATTAATAGAGGAGAATAAGAATAATCCTAGATTTCTTTTTAATACAGTTGCCAAACTCACCCAGAGCCATAGCTCTGTTTACCGTCCATTCCACCTGCTCTTAGCAGCAATGATTTTATGGGATTCTTTATAAATAAGATTGATCTTATTAAAAATAAGATCATAAGCACTCCTCTATCCGCGATTGTACCTGAGGTAGTCATGGAATCTGAACTGGGTTTAGACTGCTTTGATCCAGTTGAGCTTTCTGAATTAGCAAAATTATTGTCTTCATCTAAGCCTTCAACTTGTATGTTAGATCCAGTTCCAACCAGGTTATTTAAGGAGGTATTCCCTTTGATCCGCTCCTCCATTTTAGATGTGATTAATCTTTCTCTGTTACAGGGATATGTACCTAAAGCTTTTAAGGTTGCTGTAATTAAACCTCTGCTTAAGAAACCCTCTCTTGACCCAGATGACTTGGTTAATTATAGACCTATATACAATCTTCCTTTCTTATCCAAAATTCTTGAAAAAGTAGTTGCCAAACAAGTTTGCGATCACTTACACCATATTGAACTTTTTGAAGAGTCGCAGTCTGGCTTTAGAGCTCATCATAGCACTGAAACAGCTCTGGTGAAAGTCACTAATGATATTCTCATGGCCTCAGATAATGGACTTGTATCTGTGCTCTTCCTGTTGGATCTCAGTGCTGCATTTGATCCAGTTGACCATAATATTATTTTAGAAAGACTTGAATATTTTGTTGGAATTAAAGGAACAGCACTAGACTGGTTTAAATCTTATCTATCTGATCAAATTCAGTTTGTTCATGTTAATGATAGATCTTTAACATGCTCAAAGGTTACCTGTGGAGTACCACAGGGATCAGTGCTAGGACCAATTCTCTTTACTTTATACATGCTCCCAATTGGTAGAGTTATTAGACAGCATGGGATTAATTTCCACTGTTATGCTGATGATACCCAGCTATATCTGTCTATAAATCCAGATGAAGCTAACCCATTACATAGATTACAGGCATGTCTTGAAGACATAAAAACCTGGATGACTCTTAACTTTCTGCTCCTGAATGCAGACAAAACAGAAGTTATAGTCTTTGGACCAGAGTCTCTGAAAAAGAAACTGATTAGCCAGTCACTTCATTTGGATGGGATTAAACTGATTTCAGATAATAATGTAAAAAATCTTGGTGTTGTTTTTGATCAGGACCTGTCATTTAAATCCCATATCAAAGAGGTTTCTAGAATTTCCTTCTTTCATCTGAGGAACATTGCAAAAATTAGAAATCTCCTGTCCAGGGGTGATGCTGAGAAACTAGTCCATGCATTTGTTACTTCAAGGCTGGACTATTGTAATTCTTTACTATAAGGAAGTTCACAAACTGTAGTTAAAAGCCTTCAGCTGATCCAAAATGCTGCAGCCAGAGTTCTGATGAAAATGAAAAAGAGAGATCATATCTCTCCTATCCTGGCTTCTCCTCATTGGCTTCCTGTTAAATCCAGAATAAAATTTAAAATCCTCCTTCTCACATATAAAGCCTTAAATGGCCAAGCTCCATCTGATATCAGAGATCTGATTGTTCCTTATGTTCCTAACAGAGCACTTGGCTCTCAATCTGCAGGTTTACTAGTGGTTCCTAGAATTTCTAAAAGTAGAATGGGAGGCAGATCTTTTAGTTATCAGGCTCCTCTCCTGTGGAACCAACTACCAGTTTTAGTCCGTGAGGCAGACACCCTGTCTACTTTTAAGGCTAGGCTTAAAACTTTCCTTTTTGATAAAGCTTATAGTTAGGGTGGCTCAGGTTATCCTGAGCTATTTCTATAGTTATGCTGCTATAGGCTTAGACTTCTGGAGGACATAGGGACCCCCATGTCATCATTCTGCTTCATTCTCTCTCTGTTCTCCTATTCTGCAGAATCTGTTAGTTCAATCTCTAATGTTCTGCTCTCTCTGCTTTTCCTCAGAGTAGCTTTGCCTCGTCTGTTCCTGTTTGGCTGTGACGTCATCCTGGAAAGAAACATCAGCTGTGCTGCTTCCATCAACACCCTTGTTTATAGATGTTGGAGATGGGCCTGTTTTCCAGTGTGGTCCTGTTTCTCTGACCGTGACTGAGTGGATGTGCTCTCTTCGTCCTCTGGCATGGGAGCTGGCTCGGAGCTCGTCTGCCTGGCTGTGTGTTTCCTGGACGGGGCCGCCTTTTACAGTTGTTTTTTGTATCTATGCTTCTGTCTCCTTGAACCCCAGTCGGCCTCAGCAGATGGCCGCTCACACTGAGCCTGGTTTTGCTGGAGGTTTATTCCTGTTAAAAGGGAGTTTTTCCTCTCCACTGTCGCTACAAGCATGCTTAGTGTGAGGGATTCTATTTGAGTCAATGAGTCAATGCAATCAACTGGTTTTCCTTAGATAGAAAACTTAGTATCAATTTGACTGTATGATCTGGTTGAACTGTAAAGTGCCTTGAGATGACATGTGTTGTAAATTTGGCGCTATATAAATAAACAGAATTGAATTGAATTGGTCCGAGCACGGTAACCAAGATAACTGTTGAGTGTAAATGGTAAGCAGAACTGAACCGGACTGTGCCAGACACAACCGAACCGTACTAACATGGTACTACTTCATCAGTAGGGCTCGGCTCGGTTCAGTTCTGGCTCGGTTCGCAGATAAAGAGCGCATGAGCAGATTGCGTCATCTCCTTACAGTCAGCCTTCTTAATCAGGAAACTTCAGAGATTCTTAAAAATCCTAGCTTTCCTACAGTGCCACACAATTTCCAGTGTGATTCTGGTTCGCAGTGTGATGAACCTCGATTGTCTGTTGTTGTTTCTTGCGTCTGTAGGCCCTGAGTAGACTATCGTTTGTCGTATCCACTTCCTAGAAGACGACTGTCAAGTAATTCACCAAAGGCTGCCTTCTTCGCCTGACTCTCCGCAATCTTCCTAAATGCTGCAGGCGCCACCATGTTGGTTTGCTTTTTTACCTCTAGAGAGAAGTAGTACCATAGATTGCCACTAGGAGGCGAGGAATCATGCTAGTGTGGTGTGTAAATGGTCAAAGGTAACTTTTAAATGGGGCTTTTATTTTGTCTCTCGTCTTGTCAGACCCATGAAATTGCTGCTGAATTGCTGCATAGTCCGACTGAAACAGACCTGGGGTCTACCTCAGTCAGAGCTACGCAGCCCTCTGCAGAGAATCGTGTCGGGTGCGATCATCTCCACTGACTCTCAATGAGAGATAAACGCCACTACTTTGTCCAATAAGATTTCCTGTCAGATCGGATCATCAAGGGGGTCCAATCTGAACATGATGACTTGGCATGAATGGAGTCTGGTGTGCTATTGTTTGGTTGGAAAGAAAACTTGCAGCATCACGGCACTTTCTGGAACAAGTTTGACAATTGTGCCCTAGAGATTCAGAACCCAAAATAATTTTGCCGGTCCAAACTAAAAAAGAACCAACAGCTGAACCTAAATATGGACTTAACAGACCCAGTGAGACCCTTAAAAATCTAGATTAAATGGGTTCAGATTAAGGCAGTGGGCTAGTCTCTGTTCCAGACCTGTTGGGTCATTCGGACAAGTACAGTGTTTCGTACCTGGTATTTGGACGTTTGCCGGGTCGTCTTCAGAACTCCCCGATGGTTCAGCGCTATTGGACTCTCTATGTCGCGGCACAAAGGTATCAAACTCCTTCCTAAGCAGTGGACTCTCATCGTCATGTCGGGTCCAGAACTCCAATTTTCTGGATTTATTCTGGGGAGATTCTGGGTCTTCTGATTCCTGATCATCTTCTGATTCCAGGGGTTCTGGTTCCTCCATGTCCTCCTCTGTGTCCAGGTACTCCAACTCGCCCAAGTCGTCTATAATCTGTGGACATCCTGGTTCTGACAGGGCCTCTTCGATGTCAAAAGTTCCTAACTCGTCCAGGTCGTCTATGATCTGCGGACTGTCTGGCTCAGCCAGGGTCTGGTCCATTTGCAGAGGTTCTGGTCCACACTGTTCATCTCCATTCCGAGGAGATTCTGGATCATCCAAAGCTTCTTGTCCCTGCAAAGGTTCTGGCTGCTGCTGAGCCTCTTCGGTCTGTGGAGGTTCTGGTTCTGTGAGGTTCTGTGTGAACTCAGGGGGATACAGCTCCACTTCCTCCTCTTTGATGCATGGAGGTTCTAGTTCTGTGATGTTCTGTGTGAACTCAGGGGGATACAGCTCCACTTCCTCCTCTTTGATGCGTGGAGGTTCTGGTTCTGTGAGGTTCTGTGTGAACTCAGGGGGATACAGCTCCACTTCCTCCTCTTTAATGCGTGGAGGTTCTGGTTCAACCTTGTTCTGAACACAGAGACTCCCGTAGTCGGTCAGAACCTCTTCCTTATAAACCCGTCTGGGAGGAATTCCTGAGGAGACAGAAAATATCATCATGATCATGGCGATCCAAAAGATTTTCTAAACTTCAGAACCACCAACAATGCAACACCAGGATCATGTCTGTGTTCTGTAAGGGTGTGCAAAATAATCGTCATGACGATGCATCGTGATTCTAATTTTTGTGATCTACTGCATCGATTCTTGAAGGCAAGAATCGATTATAAAAAAAAAAGAACAAATAAAATACATGAATGGTTGCCGCACATCAGCCAAATCAAGTGGAATACAACTTCCAGTCCAGCAGATGTCGCTGCGGATGTGTTGACGCCCGCTGCTTTGTGTCACAAGCATTTCCGGCCGCAGGATACTGCGATGAGTCATTCATAGACAAAACATGGAGGACACTATGAAAATTCGCCCCGTGGCTCCATCACATTTCAAGTCAGATGCTTGGATGCATTCTGGCTTTAAAAACAAAGAAGGTAAAAATGAAATTGATATGATGCTCGTCATTTGCAAAAGGGGAAATATACATCTGAATGTTTTCGTTTCATTGGTTTAAAGGACCACTGAGGCCATGTAAACGCCACTGATTATCCTTATTTTGTTATTTTAAGTTTGATGAATCCTAAGATCTTTTTGTCAGTGTTTCCACGCCAGTAATAGTAATATTTCCGTCCAGTATTTGTTTCCATGGCAACACCTCCAAAAGTCGTTTCAATAAATACAGCTATGTATGAATTCAGTTGCTTTCAGTTACGTATCAATTGAAGACACGATCCAGATCACACCCAATGGCTGGATCTTTTTCCTACAGTGTTCAGTGAAAATATCACAACGCATCGCAATATTTCAAGTATCGTGATGCATCGTGATAGAATCGCATCGTGGCATGTGAATCGGGATTCGAATCGAATCATGACTTCTTTGCCAATACCCACCCCTAGTGTTCTGATAACTGAATCTGGTTCTGACTGATGGGTTCATACAGAACAATGATGAGTTCAGTCCAAACAGACCGAGTCCAGTTCCACCAACAAAACAGTATCAGAACCTGCCATTAACACCTCCCGCTATAGAGTGGCAGTAACGGGGGTTTGCTGAGTGGCACCGGACCTCTAGTTTCTGCGACCCGACTCGCCTAAAGCACCAACTTTTGCTCTGTTCGAATTCCTAGGACGCGTCCTCAGAAGGCCAGATTCGAAGGACGATTACGTCATAGCGTGGCGCCGAGGTATGGTCGGATTCCAAGAGTCGTCGTTATGCGACCTTAAAATGCGTCCTTCTTTTTGCCTGATTTGAAGGACGGGTCCGATGTATCCTCACTATCCTTGGATATCCCAGAATTCATTGCGAGACCAAGCAAGCTGGCTGCTCCGTGATCAGTGGTGAATATCGGAAGTTCAGTTTAATATAATCCAGTCAGTGAATAGTTCCGTCTGAGATTAATGAAAATAGTTGTTTTAATGGTTATAGAGTCAGATATGTGGCAGTAATGTTTGATTTATCTAAAGGTTTTTATCTGTTACTGTGTAAATGGGTTTGGCTGGAATTTAAGGACAGATTATAATAGATCTGCAGAGTGGGGACTATAAATCTGATAGTTTAATTTCTTTTATTGCCGTTTTGCACAATTTGCTTAACTAAGACTTTTTTTGTGGAATATTAGAGATTTTGCATATATATTTTTTATACATACATTGTTTAGATGTACTTATATATTTCTACCCCTTTTTATAGAATAGAAAATCCCTTTATTGTTCCACAATGGGCAAATTTACAGCAGCAGTAAGATTACTGAAAATGGTCACACAAATGTGGACCTTAGAAAAATGTCTAAGAATAACATAATAGGGAAGAGTTAAAATATAAACAATAAAATCCTGTAAAGTGTTTTAACAATATAAAACTGGAGAATAAATAACCAATATGCAGCTATGGACATTTTTACAATAATGGATATTTGAAAAGAGATGTGCCAAATGACAGCAGCATATTATTTATTATTTAAAGCTACAGTGTGTAATAATTACAGGGATATACAGTCAGAAATGTAATATATTATACATAACTATGTTATTTATCATCATCTACGAGCTCAGCCTCTTAACCTTAATATCTGCGTTGCCTTAGAATTCGTTATTTATAATTACATAGGAGCGGGTCTCGCAGCCATGGAGGCAGACAACTTTGCGCTACGGCAGCGCAGAGCCAACAAAGTAGCGATTGCGAGATCGCCAAAACGTCACAACGATGTAGAAAAAATAACGGGTATATTTATTATCTTAAGTCTACATGAAATCTATACCCTAACCCTACACAGACTAATGAAATACTATCTGTAAAATTATCTATGTAAACAAACCTCATCACTTGAGAAGGTAGGTGATGCGGACGTCGTGGAAGACATTTTGTCCCGTAACGCTCGCCGTACTGTTGGGGGGGAGAAGCGGTGGGGGGGAGATGTTCATGTTGCTGCAGTCTGCCGTCTGACCGCTAGATGTCGCTAAAAGTTACACGCTGTAGCTTTAACTGACTAAGGTTTCTATCATTACATTTGATTTTATTTGTTCCTGCTCCCGGTGGTTGGAACCTTTATTCCACTCAATAAAAACAGTTTTTAAAACTTCGGTTTTCATTCTTTTCCTGCTTTGTGCGTCAACTTTCACGAAGGGTAGACCTGTTCGGATTCACAGCCCAAACTCTTCCGGTCTCCTTTTTTTCACGGACTTTGAAGGATCCAGTCCAGGTAGACCGCGTCCTTGGAGGATGCAGCCCAGGAATTCGAACATTGCCTTTATGTGGCATTATACAGAGAAGAGCAGAACTCTAGATGTAGAGTTCAGAACTCTAGAATTCAAAACTCTAGATGTAGAGTTTTGATAGTCTGAGGACGAGCAGCTCAGGAACCCTCCATGGACTCGTTTCAAGGCCGTCAGGACATTTTAAACCTGAATATTCTGTTATCAATAATAAGGCCTAATTTCTTTCACCGCTTTGTTCTTTCTACGTCCTTCAGTGTATCATCGATTGTCTGCTTGTTTGTTTCTCAGTCCAATCAGTTTCCCCACTGTGGGACGATGAAGGCATTTCTTCTTCTACTATGGACCCCAATTAAAATCTGTGTTTTATTTTGAGGGGAAGGATTCCAATACCCCTTTCCCACTGGCTGAAAAAACCTGTTTAAAACCGGGAACAATCGGCATTTAGTGGCAGTGGGAACAGCTCACGGTTGCTTGTCTATCCGGGTCAAACGACTCGGCAAGCGACAGGGATTGAAATAGCCTCGGCTCTGATCGGAATTCCGTGGGAACACCAGAGCCAGGGTTACCAGCTTAATTACTTGACACCATTGTATGCAACTTACAGATGCCACACACCACGCCAGTTGGTTCCTATCTAACAAGCAGAAACAACTCTGTTTCCATTTGATAAACATGGAGCTGAATGAAGATGAGGAGGGAGGCACCTAGCTGGACTCTGAGGAAGACAGAGTTGGCGGGGACATGTCCACACCAGGCCAGAGTTGGTGGGGAGATGTCCACACCAGGCCAGAGTTGGTGGGGACATGTCCACTCTAGGCCAGAGTTGGTGGGGACATGTCCACACCAGGCCAGAGTTGGCGGGGACATGTCCACACCAGGCCAGAGTTGGCGGGGACATGTCCACACCAGGCCAGAGTTGGCGGGGACATGTCCACACCAGGCCAGAGTTGGCGGGGACATGTCCACTCTAGGCCAGAGTTGGTGGGGACGTGTCCACACCAGGCCAGAGTTGGCGGGGACATGTCCACTCTAGGCCAGAGTTGGTGGGGACATGTCCACTCTAGGCCAGAGTTGGTGGGGACATGTCCACTCTAGGCCAGAGTTAGTGGGGACATGTCCACACCAATAATTTACATTTTTTTTCCTTTTCCCGCTCATTTCCTAAGGTAACAGACGTTGGGTGCAGATATCAGTGTCCGTGTTTTTTTTCCTCTCTTCCTGCTGCTCCTGTGTCCCGCCTCTGGGTGTGACATCATCAGATCTGTCACTTTGAGTCATCTGATTTGTGGTCGCATTTCACTGCCTAGAGAGTAGCTACATGGTTGGAGGAGAGACACAGCAGCACTCAGTGATTATTAACCAGCAGCTAGTTTGATGTTTAAGTTAAAGTTAGGAGACAAGTTGGTTAAAATAATTAGAGATGCCACCGAAAAATCTGTTGGTTAGATATAAGGAGCTTTTTCAGCTAAAAATGGCAACAGATTATAAGTTTATACAAGTTAGTATTATATTTTCTTTTCTAGTTAAAAAATCTGGCCTTCTCAAAGGACATGTAAAAAATATAACCACGTCTGGGGGACAGTGATTCGTCTCCATGTTCTGAATGCTGGCGTACCATAAAGAATAAATGATGAACAGTTTAGTTTGTGCCTTCAAGTCGTTGCTCATAGGAAGACGTTACTTGGATAGAACCTAACGGAATATCTTCAGAACGGCTCCAAATGACACAAAGCCCAATGTAAAAAAACGGCGTTCCCCTTTAGGTGGGATACACCACGCTTAAAAATGTGCACACATGAAAACCCCCGAGGGTCAGAGACTCTCCCACCACTGTCTCCTGAAATCCTGTGGGAAACACTGGAGGACCATGACTCCCAGTTCCAGGTTAACATGTTTTCTTATTGAACAGAGAATCAGACTGCAGAGCTTCTACAGATCTAGAAATGTAGTTTCTAGCATCATTATATTAGTAAAGAGGTTCATAAATCTTTTTAAACGGAGAGAAACAGGGAGAGCTGCAGATTTAAAGGAGAAACAGATTGACTGGGATATGCAACATGCAATAAAATATATATCCATGTTCAAGAAAAAAATACGCTATTCTATAATTAAAATCTAGCATATCCATATTTTTCTGGATGGATGGAATTTAAATTGTTTTACTAGTGATGCATGATTTATTGATTGTGGCATCAGAATCGGCTGTTATTGGTTATTTTTTTATACATCAATGTTTTTGGGCTGTATATATACGTCACAGCTCCTCTCTTAGCCATCCTGTCATGCACAGATCAGATGCCAGACAGTTGGGTTTAAAAAAAAAAAGATTTACTGTAATGAATGGTAGAGAAAAACAAATCCTCTGGTTAGCCTCCCCTCTGGTTCACCAACAGCTGGAATGCAATAAAAAGTCCAGCAATCCCTCGGATACCCAACTCTACAAAGAAGATAGCCAGACCGGAGCACTCACCACAGCTGGGGGCCAAACACATTCTGTGGAATTGTCAGCCGTTCCCAGTATTTATAGGCCAACCAGTAGGGGGCGCCAAACACCACTCATCACAAATAACTATAAAACATATTTTAGTAGAATTTAATCTACATCTTCTAAAACCCATTACATACATAATGCACTAAAAGCATCTCTAACATCTTTAAACATAAATATCAGTGTATTGTGGTTCCTTGTGTTCTCAACAACAGGAAAGAATTCAATTTTAGAAAATACAAAAACCTGATGAAAGCATTCAGGTGGAGTAACTGTAGGTCCATCTGCCCCCACCCTCAGAACCCCCCCACCCTACACCTTTGCTACAGAGTAGGGTGACCAGACGTCCCTGATTTCCAGGGACTGTCCCCGTTTTGGACCACCTGTCCCCGGCTAAAGCTGTCCCCGGAAATGTCCCCGATTTTACCGAGGCGAAAAATGTTGCGTGTAGACTGTTATTACGGTAGAGCTGTTGCGCGCAAAAATAGGTATTACGGTAGCTGGTTGCGCTGCTGATAACATAAAGATAAGGAACAGAGCGCACCACAATAAGGGCGGTAATGATCCTTTTGGATGTCAGCTGCCATTAAAAGACAAAGAGGAAGAAGAGCGCATCACTTTTAAAACAGAAGAAGAAGAAGAGGAAGTTCGTTTTTTACAACCTGTGGCAACTGATGGGGAGCTACGCTGAGTGATGGTAAGTGTGTTAATCAATTTATTTTATTCTGATCGGGCTGATCTTGTGATAAATGTTTGGTTTGTGTCCAGGTTAAAACAGTAATAAAAAGTAAGACAAGACCACGAGTTGAGCATGAGTAAAAGACGCTGGGTTAAAATGTAGCAAAATGATTGAAAACTCCTTGTAAGGCGCTTATCTGGTACGCTGGTTCTCCAGGGATCAACAAGGGTTTGTATAAAGATGATTTAGAATGGATAGGTGACCTTTAGTTTATATTTCAGATAGTTATTATAAGTAGAGTTATTTCAATTTGTTTTGATGATTTATGGTTGTGATTTATGAGCATAGACTTCCAGTTTTTGGTGTGCTTTTTTACTGCTCAGTTTGGATATATATGAAAGTTCCTTGAGAAAAAATAGGAGTCAGTAACAGGATAACTGAATAAGACAAGATCTACATGATTTGAGAATGATGGAGATAACCACCTGTTTAATGTTCATTTATTATGTGGTTTTTGCTTGTGGCTCCTAATATTGTGGTAATTAGCATTTTTAGTATTTAGATGAGATATTAATAATAAGTTTTCATGTTGCACATCCTAATTTTTTTGAAGGTGATTTTGATTATATAATGTCTCTGTTTTAGAATAATGCAAGATTGATGCTGGAGGAGTGAGGAAGAAGATAGAAAGACAGAAAGGAGATTGAATGAGAGAGGAGGAAACTATGAACTCTGATAGAAAAAACGGTTGACAAGAAGGGAGAAAAATTTACTTTGAGGAGTAAAGCAGAGAGCAGGAAACATAAGAGGAAGCCTTAATGCACAATACAGAAGCTGTGAAAAGAAGGAAATTATATATGTATATGTTATTGCTGTTTATAAATATGGACTATTCTTGGATTATATACATTGTGTTGATGTTAAGCCTATTCTGCTGTTCAATGGTTCAACTTGTTTAAGACATTTAAAAAGGTTATTTTGCTTTTTACTTGCTATGTCTTCTCTTATATTATTTTACCCAAATTACCAGGGCCACTGCCTCAGACCCTGTTCAGTTAATATTTCTGTTTCAAACATTTAAAATGTATAATATGTATTAATAAAGTTCAAGTGATAAAGCGTTGACATGATTTGAGTGATAAACTAACATATTGAGTGATGTAGTGTGCAAAGTATGCTGTGGAACACAGAGTGGCTGTATACTCAGGTTAGTAGGAAAAATGAACCTGCTACTTTGAGACACACAGGCCCCTGATGGGGAACCAACTACCAGTTTTAGTCCGTGAGGCAGACACCCTGTCTACTTTTAAGGCTAGGCTTAAAACTTCCCTTTTTGATAAAGCTTCTAGTTAGAGTGACTCAGGTTATCCTGAGCTATCTCTATAGTTATGCTGCTATAGGCTTAGACTTCTGGAGGACATAGGGACCCCTTTTTCATCATTCTGCTTCATTCTATCTCTGTTCTCCTATTCTGCAGAATCTGTTAGTTCAATCTCTAACGTTCTGCTCTCTCTGCTTTTCCTCAGAGTAGCTTTGCCTCGTCTGTTCCTGTTTGGCTGTGACTCCATCCTGGAAAGAAACATCAGCTGTGCTGCTTCTATCAACACCTTTGTTTATAGATGTTGGAGATCGGCCTGTTTTCCAGTGTGGTCCTGTGACTGAGTGGATGTGCTCTCTTCGTCCTCTGGCATGGGAGCTGGCTCAGAGCTCGTCTGCCTGGCTGTGTGTTTCCTGGACAGGGTCGACTTTTACAGTTGCTTTTTGCATCTCTGCTTCCGTCTCCTTGAACCCCAGTCGGCCTCAGCAGATGGCCGCTCACACTGAGCCTGGTTCTGCTGGAGGTTTCTTCCTGTTCAAAGGGAGTTTTTCCTCTCCGCTGTCACTACAAGCATGCTTAGTGTGAGGGATTGTATTTGAGTCAATGAGTCGATGCAATCAACTGGTTTTCCTTAGATAGAAAACTTTGTATCAATCTGACTGTATAATCTGGTTGAACTGTAAAGTGCCTTGAGATGACATGTGTTGTGAATTTGGCGCTATATAAATAAACTGAATTGAATTGATCTGGCTAGGTGACAGTAAGAAACATATATGAACCTTTACCTGCAGGCTTGACTACTACTTGTTTTTTTTATGTTAATGAAGAAAAAAATATTTCTTATAGGTATGTACAGTAGATGTAAACAGAATAAGTATTTGTTGCACTTTTTGAAGAGGTTGGGAAACTCTGTCTCAACAGACAGCCACAGGCATAGAATAAATGTTTGTATTTACTTTTCTAAATTTCTTTTCCTCATGTCACTCTCCCCTTAGGAGGCGGCAGAGCTCATTGGGCCCCCAAAATTGGAAAGCCCTGCTAATGACCCTTGACCCCTCCGCTCCCACCCCCACCACTTTGCCCCAACCCAGAGACACAGTTCTAGTTTTCTACTAATAACACTTCATGTTATTAATCTTAGGATATACTAAACGTTTGGAAAGGCACATTCCTGGCTTTTACACTTGATTTTTGTTGTTTAAATATTAATAAATATGTAAAAATATATGAAACCATTACTGTCCCCGTTTCCTAATTTCATCTCGATAAGATGTATTGATTTTTATCCACGAGCAAGAAATGTCCCCAGATTTGATTTCAGAAATCTGGTCACCTTACTACAGAGGAACCTTCTGCTCCACATCTGCAGCCCAGGGGCCCATATTCTCCCACATCCGGCCCTGCTGATAATAACAGTCATTAAACCCACATGAATCTGAGCCCTCATTGATTGGGAGGTTAGTCTGGTGTGTTTCTACAGTGGGAACATCTAGTAATGTGGATCTAAGTGAGAGGAACCTCCAGAGATGCAGATGAACATCAGACCTACCGAGCCTCTGCAGCCTGACCTCCGGCTTCAGGCACACAGCTAGCAGCTTGCTCTGGGCGGCCAGCTCCTCCTCCAGGCGGATGATGGTTTTCTCCACCTCGGAGAAGATCTCCTCCGCAGCAGCATCCAGTCTCTGCCTGATAAAGTCTCTGAGAGGAAGAACTGAACCCATTCCTGCAGCTGCTGATCCAAACTGGCCTGAGATCCGACCGGACGGTCCACAAAGCAAGCTAGCTGCTAACAACTGCTCAGCGCTACTTCCGGGGGACCTTAGGGCGACAACTTCCGGACGGATGCGTCAGCGCTGCCGCCATCTTGGTAAGGGAGAAGGGCAGCTGGTTGAGCCGCATTTATAGGATTAAAAACCTTAAGTAGAACATTTCACTGTTTTCTACATACATTTTCTACATTTGTGGAACTTGCCTTCTGCCATTAACTGCCTCAATCATTTACCAACACATCATATCATATCATATCTGAGGTTTTTGACTTCTAAGAAGGGCTGTACCAAAACTTAGCTTGCTTTACCTGACCTTCCACCTTGCTCCTCTCCTTGAGAAGGACCTCGCTGCAGCAAACAGAAAGGGGCGGGGACGGACCACTGTCAGTCTCATACCTTATATGGAAATGGGACCATTTCATTCCGGAACTGACGGGGGCGCTAGTGACACTATTTCCTGTACCGACCGTTTCATAATAATTATAATAATAATAATAAGGTATTTTATTTGACAACGCCTTTCAAAACACCCAAGAACACTTTCAACATTAAAAATACTAATTAAACAGTAAAGAAATGGCTACAAAACGTGATATGTCACGGGGCATGTCTGTCACGTGGTATGTCCCTTTTTTATTTTGAAATCTTTATTTAAAATTATATTAGTAACAAACAATCTAAAATAAGCAACAATAAGGAATCATTATGGAGATGTATTTATCTATCCTTACACCCTATATATGTCTAACAAAAGTCATAAAAAATAAAATAAAATCAATATTTTGGAGACAAATGTACATTACATTAAGAGCACATTTATCCATCCATTAATTTTTATGAATTATCCTCAAGTGGGGTCATGAAGGCTGCTGACAGATCCCAGTCCATCGCTGATTAAGAAAACAGATATAAACAAATACATGCTGGTGCTGAAGTTCAAATAATATATTTTGATGTTGTGAACGGTACTCTTAAAATAAATAAGTTAAAATCTAAAATATAATAGCCTTTGGCTTATTTAATAAGAACTAGATGGAAAAGAGGTTTGGTCTGTAAAACATTTAGTCGACAATTTTGGCCAACTTAGTACGTCCATTCACTGTAGTATATCGTTAGATTGGATCATCTGTGATCGATTGGTTTACCCTATGAGAAGCGCATCACTCAGTGTTCGATATGTTTGGGCTGGTGCCCAGTGTTGTTGTTGGCGAGCTGCAATAAAAGTTACATGCAAAGTGCCTCACCAGAAATAAGCCTCACCGTTTATTTTATTTAGTGTAAGAAGTACACGACATGGTGTCAGAAGAGGTCTTTTCTTACTCCACATGAGCCACGAGACTACAATAGTTTTCGTTAAATCCTCCGCTGTGGAAAAAAAAGTTTAGTTAAACGTCCGAGTGACCGAACGTTAGCGTTAGCCAGAGCTAAGCTACAATGGATCAGTTCAAGCCTCCAGCCCCGCTAGTGCTAACCGGCAACATCAGTGAGAATTGGCGCCGATGGGAGCAACGTTTTCAGCTGTACATGACGGCTACGGGAGCAAACACGAAAGCTGAACCGGTGAAGATGGCTATCATGCTGCACACGGTCGGCGAGGAAGCGCTAGAAATATACAACACCCTGGATGTGTTTGTGGAACCGGGTGAGGATGGACAGCCTGGTGAGCTAACAATGAAGGACGTCTTGGATGCGTTCAGAAAGTACTGCATCCCGAAAAAAAACATTGTGTTCGAGCGTCACCAATTCTGGTCGCTCCCCATGTCTGAGGGAGCCAATGTAGATCAGTTCATGACTGAACTTCGTCAAAAATGTAAGAACTGTGAGTTTGGACTAACAGAGAATGACATGCTCAGGGATAAGCTCGTCTTTTCTGTCCCAGACGCTCGCGTGAAAGAGCGATTACTGCGAGAAACGGACTTAACTCTGGATAAAGCTGTCGACATCTGTAGAGCAGCTGAAGTCACTAAATTACAGATGCGAGCTATGAGATCAGCTCAGCCTGAGGCGTCCGTGGAAGCTCTCCACAAGGTGTCTCCCAGCTACGAGAAGGGGAGAGTTTCCATGAAAAAAATGTCACGACCACATGAGAGAAAGACACAGGCAGCAAACAGAAATGTCAACACATGCAGAAAATGCGGCGGGGTGCATAAACCTCGTCAGTGTCCAGCGTTCGGTGTGATCTGCCACAACTGCAATAAGAAGAACCACTATGCAAAGATGTGTGCATCAATAAAAGACAGAGGAGCTACTGCCCGGGGCGTGCACGAGCTTGAGGTGGAGTCACTGTTTATATCAACAATGTCCTGTGTTGAACCCAAACGCACTCAGCAGGATAATTCGTGGTACACAACAGCCAACATCAAAAACACAGAGGTTGAGTTTAAATTGGACACTGGGGCAGATGCGAATGTGCTTCCTCTGAGCATGTTGCAGAAGATTCCGGGTCCTCATCAGCTGCAACCCACACGCATCGCTCTAGTTGCCTATGGAGGAACACGTCTGAAGCCAGAGGGCACCGTGAGACTTATCTGTGATGTGGGCAGGACGATGTCAGATCTTCTGTTCTTCGTCACTAAGCACTCCTCCACTCCGATCCTGGGCCGAGATGCATGTGAACAGCTGCAGCTGGTGAAAAGAATGCAAACCATCGCGGTCAAAACACCAGCCACAAAAGAGGAGCTAGTGGACGCCTACCCCTCTGTCTTCAGTGGGCTGGGACAGTTTCCAGGGGTGCATCACATCCACACAGACCCACATGTGACCCCAGTTGTGCACGGCTGTAGGAAAATCCCCATCGCTGTCATGGACCGGCTAAAAACCACACTAGGAGACCTCGTCGAAAGAGATGTCATCGCACCAGTGACGGAGCCTACAGAGTGGGTAAATAGCCTTGTCATCACAGAAAAAAAAAACGGGTCGCTCAGGGTGTGTTTGGACCCTCGTGACCTTAATGAGGCGATTAAGAGACAACACTTCTCAATACCAACCCCAGAAGAAGTACTCCACCGCCTGTCAGGAAAAACCATCTTCTCCATTCTAGATGAAAAGGACGGATACTGGCAAGTGAAGCTGGACCAGCCCTCCTCGATGCTCTGCACATTCAGCACGCCGTGGGGCAGGTTTCGCTTTAAGAGACTTCCTTTTGGCATAAAGTCCGCCAGTGAGGTCTTTCAACAAAAGAACTGTGACACATTCGGCAGCATAGAAGGTGTGCACATCATTGCAGACGACATGATCATCGCCGCTGCATCTGAGGAGGAGCATGATGCTATTCTGCAGAAAGTAATGGACACTGCACTAAAAAACAACATCAAATTCAACAAGGAGAAAGTTCAATACAAAGTGGACTCAGTCAAATATATGGGCCATGTAGTCACCTCGAAGGGAGTGAAGCCGGACGAGTCCAAGGTATTCGCCATCAGAGACTGCTGGGAATGACAAGGTACCTCTGCCAATACATCCCAAATGAAGCCACGATCACAAGCCCGCTCAGAGAGCTGCTTCGAAAGGACGCTGCGTGGCACTGGGGCAACCAACACACTGCTGCAGTGGACAAGCTTAAGACCGCCCTCATGCAAGCCCCAGTACTCCAGTTCTATGACCGGAGCAAGCCACTCGTCATACAGTGCGACGCATCGAAAGACGGACTCGGTGCCTGTCTGCTGCAGGAAGGTAGGCCACTGTCATACGCATCACGAGCACTCACAGACTCTGAGAAGAATTATGCTCAGATAGAGAAAGAACTGCTGGCAATAGCTTTCGCCACCAAACGTTTTCACCAGTATGTGTATGGCAACACAGTGACTGTACAATCTGACCATAAGCCCCTAGAAGTCATTTTCAAAAAACATCTGAGCAAAGCACCTGCACGACTCCAGCGCATGCTACTGCAGCTCCAACGCTATGACCTGAAAATCATCCACACAGCCGGCAAGGACATGCATGTTGCTGATACCTTGTCCCGTGCTGTTGTCAGTGACAGCAAGGACGACGTGAAAGAGGATCTGTTTGAGGAGAGAGTAGTGCATGCAATGGAGGCCACAGACGCACTCGACGCAGACATGCTATCAAAGCTCAAAGGGGCCACGGCGACAGACAGCACACTGCAACAAGTGATAGAGTTACACAAGAGAGGCTGGCCACGACAACGGCGCAGTGTTCCCACCAGTCTACACCAATACTGGTCAATGAGACACAACATCAGCATCAGGGATGGCATCCTGATGACTGGTGACAGGATTGTGATCCCACAGAGTGTGAAGCAGCTGATGCTTGACAGACTGCACCTCGCACATCAGGGGATACAGCGGACAAAAGCACAAGCAAGAAAGGTGATGTACTGGCCAGGCATGAAACACGACATCGAAAACCTGGTGGAGAAATGCCGCCCATGCCAACAGCTCCAGCCACAGAATCACAAAGAACCCCTGATTCCACACGAGGTACCTGAACTGCCATGGCTGAAGCTTGGTGCAGACATTTTTGAGCTACACGGACAGTCATATCTCCTGATGGTGGATTACATGTCAAAATACCCAGAAGTGCTCCACATACCTGACAAAACTGCCCACACAGTCATACGCCAAATGAAGACCATATTCGCAAGACATGGGATCCCAAAAGAGCTGGTGAGCGATCACGTCCCATTCGCCAGTTCTGAAATGCGACAGTTTACGTCGTCATGGGGCATAAAACTTGTCCACTCCAGCCCTGGGTATCCACAGTCAAACGGCTTAGCAGAGAGAATGGTAAAGACTGTAAAACAGGCACTTAAAAAGGCGACACAAGCCGGCACAGACCCGCACCTAGCTCTCCTGTCTCTGCGCAACACTCCAGTGACTGGCACAGAGTTTTCACCAGCACAGGTCCTGATGGGAAGAGTACTGCGGAGCACCCTGCCGACGTCCACAGCTGTTCTGCAACCAGCTGTGCCCCGCGGGTTCCACTCGCGGCTGAAACACCTACAAGCCAGGCAAGTGCACTACTACAACCACAACACAAAGCCACTGCCAGAGTATGCTCCTGGTACCACAGTGCACATGTCAACACGTCGTGGTTGGGAACCAGCAACGGTCCTGAGCAAAAGAGAGGAGCCACGTGCATACAACGTCCAGACACCCAGTGGTGTCACGTTCCGAAGAAATCGACGTCATCTAAGGAGAATCCACCCCAGTCTTCATCGAGAGGACAATGATGAACTTCTAGATCACCCCATCGCTTCACAGAGAGAGGACAGTGCATCACAGGCCCAGCGAGACCAATGCTCACCAGCCTGTGAACCATCCAGTCCCACTCCAGCTCCGACCACCTACAGAACAAGGAGTGGGAGGCTCGTGAAGATTCCTTCAAGGTTCAGGGACTATGAGTTGAAATAATACTTAAGTCCTGCCTGCAGATAAGTCATGGTCGGACTTTGTTTACATTTTTCTTGGTCCTGTTTGATGGGCTAATTTTGGTTACTTACATATTCTTTGTTCCACAGTGTGACTGAGCTGAAAACAAGAGAGACAAAAGGCACACGGGAAAAAAAAAAATGAAAAAAAAAAAAAAAAAAAGGATATGTATGAATGTGATTTAAAAGTTGTTTTTACAGTGTAAGGCTGTCGATTACAACGGTTAATTCAAATGTTACTTCTTCTTACAATGTTACTTTAAAGATCTAGAGTTACAGTGAAGTTAAATATGATTCTCGTGCTTAAAAAGGGAGGATGTAGTATATCGTTAGATTGGATCATCTGTGATCGATTGGTTTACCCTATGAGAAGCGCATCACTCAGTGTTCGATATGTTTGGGCTGGTGCCCAGTGTTGTTGTTGGCGAGCTGCAATAAAAGTTACATGCAAAGTGCCTCACCAGAAATAAGCCTCACCGTTTATTTTATTTAGTGTAAGAAGTACACGACATTCACGGTGCACTTTTGTTGTTTATTTGCCAAATATTTTTTCTTATTATTCTCATTGTGAATATAATTTACAAACAAACCAAAGGACTTTTGAACTTTTAACAAGTGCCATTCGGTAAATAGACTATACTTGGTTGCAGGTGACCTGGCTCAATTATTATCATTATTGACCATAATGTCTCCTATAAGGACTCCAGCTCAACTAGTAAACTGACTGGTGTCCCACTATTCCATTTAGAAATACCATATTAATTTTATTAATTGCAATAAATTCATAAACTGCACTCCAAAAACATGAATATCCAATTGTAGCAAAACCCAAAGTGATTAATTAAAACCTTAAATGTAGCTTCAACCTGGAAAGACTCGCACAGAAAGTAGGTTTTAGAAAGTTCATTTGACAATAATCTTCAACTTTCTGATCCTGGCAGTAGACACTGTACTGGTAACCACCAGAGAATTATCTTTTTTCTACATGAAAACATTTTTGAATAAAGTCTGTCTTCATCTCACCTGCTCAGCCAATCACCTGCTCAGGTGCCTCCCTCCCAGCCTAACGGCGCCGGTCTCAAGTCCTTCACCCTTCATAAAGTCCAGCTTGATGTGTGCAACTGCTCCTCACCTGAGCTTCCATCACCTCCACCCTGATTACACCTTCGCTTTGCTCGTTTAATCTTATGTTTGTATCTGAACAATATGTTTCTGCAACTTATTTTTTATTACATAAAACAAGTTGATTCTAACTGTTAAAACATAAACAACTTGTCTGTATGTCAGGTTTGTAAAGAAAATTTGTATTGATTCCAGTCATTGTTCAAAATTGTATAGGAAACATTGTATATTGCAAGTTATTAGCTTTGCTTGCATTTAAAATTTTCCAACAAGATTTTCCAATTGTTAAACAACGCTGTTACAATATATTTACTACTTTATTGATTCTACTGTCTCTCCAACAAATTACAGCCACAATGTAACTTTGTGGAAACGACACCATTTCTATGAAAACTAAATTATGTAAATCAACTGAGCTACAACAAAAGGAACTTTCAAAAATTTAAATAATATTGAAAGAACACATTATGAAAAAGGAGGACTGCACAAGTCAAAAGGTAAATATTCTTTATCAGAAACGATTTCAAATGGCATGTCACAAAAAAAAACTAACAATATGTGACAGATTGTGGAAAGCAACTTATATTTTCTTTGAATTCAATGTTGGCACTCAGGGCAAAGTCCAGGTATGCCATCACAGTAGTAACGAGGGTACTCTCCTCTCCTCTGCATCTGACAATAAAAAAATAAAAAAACAAACAAAATAAAAAACAGGTGCATTGGAAGACTGTCATACAGGAAGAATGGATGATACATATGATTATGAATGAATCTTACCTGTAAGATTGGCGGTATCCTTTCTACCTGCATGGTGAAGAGCATTAAACAATAATTAATACTTTATATCTCTCAGTATCTTATCCTTTCATCTCTAATGATATAAAAAAAGTTGTCCAAATAATGAATTTTAATAAAAAAATAAAAATAAAAAAATAATTTAGGGTTTTAGTCTCATTTGCACATAAAGATACACAAATCAAAATTACTAGTTATGTGTAAATTTAAAAAATGAACCTCAATTTGTGCCTCGGCTCCTTTGGCATAGGTGTGGTCATCAGCACACAGAGTCTGTAAAAATACAGATATGTTCTAAGTGAAAGATGAATGCAAGTCCAAATAACATCAAAACTGATTCAACCCTTTTAATTCTTCTATCCTGATTTTCTTTCAGACTTAAAAAAATAAGCATAGAACAAAAGTACACTGTGAATGGACATAATACAAATTCCATGACTTAAAACAACAAAGTGATGAATTTTAGCTACAGCTTACCTCACTTTTTGCCCTCTCATCAACTTTTTTCCGCTTTCTCTCCTTTTGTAGTTCTTCTCTGGACCTTTTAAAAAGGACAAATTGAAGGTTTTCTTAAAAAACTGAATCTAGAAAAGTGTATTAATTTACTATGTGAAAAAAATTTTAAGAAGGTAAAATTACCTTTTGTTGATTTTGTGGGTTTTGCATTATGGATCGTGTGCCGAACACCAGTGCAAAAACTTTTCAAACTTCTTTCTTTCTTCTTCCTTTCCTCTTAACCCCGCGTCTTTAAGGCATTTATACTAGTGATTATGAAAATAGCGCCCCCTTCATTTCCGGAATGCAATAGTCTCATTTCCAAATAAGGTATGGGACTGACGGAAAGGTCTGTCCCCGCCCCTTTCTGTTTGCTGCAGCCATAGATATCCATAATAAAGGCTAGATGTCTTACGGCGGAGTCTCAAACGTCATCACCGGCGGCCATCTTGCCTCAGGCAGGCTTTCTGTTGTGCTCTGTGGTACCTAATGTAAGGTGAGTGATCAGCACGAACACAAATACTCTTACCTCACTGAATTCTTGACGGATTTACAAACAGTTTGGTTTCTTACAAACATTATGAACGTGGCTATAATTCTAGATGCTTGAACATGTCGAAATTGCAGATTTTCTTGTCGAAAAATGACTTAATCGCGCAGCATAGTTGTGCATCATGGCTACTTGCGCAAGTTATCAAGGCTGAGATTATTAGTCAATTATATAGGTTTTACTGACACCAATAACGATTGTATGACAATTAATCTTTGGTGTAAATTACAATCTTTGTGGATGTGGTTGTAGTTATTAGTTGGCTAATAACAATAATCTGAGTGTTGTTGTATTTTCATTATTAGCCTAACGTTAGCTTGCTAATAACAAGAAGCTGCGAAGGGAGACCTAACGTTAGTAAGTTAGCAGCTAACGTTACTGTTTAGCTAGCTGCTAACGTTAACAAGCAACTTTACATCAGTGGAAGAGGCAGAATTTAACATGATTTCCAATCGATTTGGTCTGTCAACACATCTTACATTATGTTACAGGAATTTGCTGGGTTTATTAAAAGGAAGATGCCAGACTTTTGCTATGACATAATAGTATTACAAGACTGTTGTTGACTCAAAGCTTTTATAAGTTTGTATTAGTTTCATTTGGACAACTTAAAGATGGCCAAACATTTTCAACTTTCCAGCTCATCTTCAAAGGGCATGTGTATCATTGAAATTTAATCACATATTGATATACCAATCTTATATACTGTGAATTGTTGTTGGTCACTTTTGTTTTTGTTTCTGCAGGTTATATAATGTGTAAGCAGGAGGAGAAGATCTTCCATCCCCGTTTGCTGACATTCCTGCACTAGTACATGACCACAGCTACCTTCCTGTCCGCTTTGATGGCCTTGTGGACAACGCTCTCTTGTACATTACACAGAAGCTCAATAAAACCGTCCTTTTCAAAGGGCATTAGCCAAGCTATGTTTTTTGGGTCATTTTTTAAATCTCTGTCTTCCATGTGTATACCATCACAGTAGTGTAGGTGGGGATTTCAACATGCTACATCTATATATACTTGTGAAGGGGACTATTGTACCAATTTTAATAGCAAATAAATGTCACTTTTATAACGGTTTAAAAATAGGAACTTTTGTGTAATTACCCCTGATATATAATCCGAATAGTCTACATGAAACTTCAAAGTGTTACCTTTAATTTGAAACCTGGATTATGCTTCTACACCAAGAGGTTGCCACACAATAAGCCTTTTCTGTCAGTATTCCATATTTTATTATAACAATAATATTCATATTATAAAAGTATGTATGTAAATATAAATAAATTAGGACTGTGAAATAATTAATCACACCCAAATAAAAGTGTTTATATATATATATATATATATATATATATATATATATATATAGATATATATATATATATATATATATATATATATATATATGTATATATACATATTTATAGGCCTATATATATATACATATTTTTATATATATATATACACATATTTATATATATATATTTATATATATATAGATATCTATAGATATATCTATATATCATGTTGCCATTCAGTACACTGAGTTTTAACAGCATATATTGATTTAACATAAATACCTTGTGCATGTGTATATTTATTGCACCTGTAGGTTCTATTCAATGTTCTTTTCATATGAAATTCCATGGTTAATTATAACCATGGAATAATTATAACCATGGAATTTCATATGAAAAGAACATTGAATAGAACATACAGGTGCAATAAATATACACATGCACAAGGTATTTATGTTAAATCAATATATGCTATTAAAACTCAGTGTACAGAATGGCACCCATATATATGTGGTCCCAGAAATATATATATATATATACATTGTATATATAATATATATATATATATATATATATATATAATATATATATATATATATATTGTATACATATAAAATATATATATATATTGTATACATATAAAATATATATATATATAATATAAATAATATATATATATATATAATATAAATAATATATATATATAATATATATATATATTGTATACATATAAAATATATATATATATATATAATATAAATAATATATATATGTATAATATAAATAATATATATATACATATATATATATATATATATATATACATATATATATATATATATATATATATACATATATATATATATATATATATATATATATATTGTATATATATATATATAAACCAAACTGTTTGTAAATCCGTCAAGAATTCAATGAGATAAGAGTATTTGTGTTCGTGCTGATCACTCACCTTACATTAAGTACCACAGAGCACACCAGAAAGCCTGCCTGTGGTAAGATGGCCGCCCGGTGATGCCGTTTGAGACTCCGCCGTAAGACATCTAGCCTTTATTATGGATATCCAAGGCTGCAGCGAGGTCCTTCTCCTCTCCTTCCCCTTAGACACCGCTCCCTCTTCTTCTTCTTTGATATTTTTGGCGGTTGGCAAACAACAGATAGATGCATTTCCGCCATCTACTGGAATGGAGTGTGGACCAGAATGACTCTCAGGAATTAAATTCTATTATATAAATGTGTTATTTTTAGATATCGAAATACTATACTGTAAATATTACTATCTGAATAACTTCTGAATAATTGAAATTAATCTAATTTAACTTTTACTTTACTCAAATTTTGAATGAATTGCTTTCTCTCCTCCTCATATTTGTTACAGTATAACATCACATACTCAACTGTTTCATCTACCCCACAATATTCACATTTCCCATTGTTTCTTCTCTTCTTGTTCTTTCTGTTCTTCTCATTTCTCCAATTTTCTTTTGAATTTTATAAAACCAACGTCCTTTATTTCCTTTCTCCCATTCGTTTTGCCATTTATCCTTTATTTTCTGTTTAATTAACATTTTAACTTCAGATTTGCTAAAATTAACAAATAAATCCACTGACACATTTTTAGCAGCTTCTTTTGCTGCCTTATCTACTTGTTCATTTCCTTTAATTCCATAATGTGCCGGTATCCATACAAAATTTATAACTAAACCCATCATATTTATTCTATATAGTGTCTGTCAGTGTTTTTTTTTCTTTTACAGAGGTCTATTTGGTATTTAACTTTGCTTTGTAAACTATAGCAATCATTAATAACTATGCACTGATTCTGATAAAGCGTTCACAGTTTTTTTTTCCCAGTATAAGTATTATAGTCCATTTTTTAGGGCTGTGGGTGAATTTTACAATACGGCATCTGGGGTTTTACACTGTAGCTGCTTCTTACTTATGACTTTTAATTGTTAGTTTTTTTTTACTTATTTTGCTATATGTTTGTCAAAGTTTGGTTATATCTGGGAATAAAACTTAACATCTGACTCTCAGGGTTACTTTTGTATTAAATTTCTAATAGGGCGCACCACACCAAAGGGCGCGCCGCACATTTTGAGGGGAAAAAAAGACGTTTATATGCGCCTTTTAGTCGTGAAAATACAGTACTCTAATAAGTACATGTAGGGCGTTGATGAAACCTACCTGCAGTATCTGTCTGCGCTGCTTGATTACTAGAGAAGGCAGCACACTTTCGGCTGAGACTGCAGATTGCGGCGAGTCAGCGGGCTGATCCGAAGTCTCCGACATCTGCGTGGAAGTCTCGTCCAGGTCCGTCGTCTCGACTCCAGATTCAATCGAGCTCGTAGCAGGCGATCCACCCCAGATCTCCTCACAGAGTTCAAAAAACAAGAGCACCACACGCCCAAAGCCACTCTTTCGTCCACTGTCCACCGCTGCTCTGTATTTTCCCCTGATATTTTTTAATCTTTGCGGTCAGTTGTGCTTTTGTAATTGCTGTGGAGTCATGAGGAAAGTCACGGTCTGTAGAGTCACGTGGATATTGCTCCTGGAAAGCCGACATATCGCTGTATTTTGACTGACACGTCTCCCAATCGACACTTTCTTGTAGTCTTTTGACTTTATAATCAAGTGTAACTCGAAGCAGCAGTTCCACTTCATCATCTGTCCAACCAAGACTTGTAGATGTTCGCCCAGTCGTACTTGCCGCCATCTTTTCTATTTGGTTCTTTTTCTAGGGGTTTTCCGGTTTGGTTGTTGTAGTGCGCATACCCAACATTTCGTCGCCTATTTTTGCTTTGGCACCACAGCGCCACTTACAGGCCTGGCATACATTTTGCAGCGTTTTCATGCATTCGTGTGGACGATCACATTTATTTTACGTCTCCGTCTTTACGGCAAACGTTTTGGAAAATATCAGCGTTTCGTTTTCGTTTTGACTTCGTGTGGACAGGGCCTAAGGCCCATCTATGATGTTGTAAACTGTTAATAAAAGGCTTTGCTATGAAGGGATCTGTGTGAGAAGGTGCTGGTTTCTGAGCCAACACCTTTTCTCCGCTTCTGTAGAGGCTGACGTCAAAAACCCTGTCTCTGTGTTGATTATTTCCTTTTAATCTTTTAAACTCACATTTCTCTGGATTAAAACCCAACAGACATCTGTCCACTTAGACCCCAACCTGTCCATCATCATCAGACCAAAGAGCTGTGAGGAACCAGAGATAGTAGACCTGCTACAGGACGACAGTTCAGCAGCCCGCTGAGAGGAAAACATCTGCTGGGAGAAACTCTAGATGAGCATCAGCTGCATCATCCTGGGGCTCTAGATCCTGTTCCTCACAGCTGAAGTGTTCCTACGATGTACTCTAGACCTGAGACAGCTGATGGATCAGATCCGTATTTCCCCACAGATTCCATGCAGCGTATCAATGGAAACGACATTTACTGCTGAAATGAGTCCATTCTTCACTGAGATAAAAGGAAATGTGTCATCATGTGGGAAAGCTTCCTTTTAAATCCTAACATTTTAATCTCCAATCAGTTTTAGGATTTTCTTTTCTTTGTGTTGAAGGTTGAGCTTCAGATAATAACAACTAGATGCTGCTTCACTTAAAGGAATAGTACACCCAAAACATGATTAGCCTTCATTTTCTACTCACCCCCATGCTGAACAACACTCTGGAGTACTTTTTTGATATCTCAAATGCATCTGGAGATCTGGGAGGCTTCTTGCTGTCTGCTGACATTCAAATAATGGAGGTCTATGGCGCCCGAGGCAGAAAGGTCCATAAAAGTACACAAAAAACGTTTCAATATTCCTCCATACTGCTCGTCCAATGTATTCCAAGTGTCCTGAGTGGGTAGTATCTAGAATTTACTCGAAACAAAGTCATTTAGAACGTTTTTAGAGCATAAACAGTAGTGTATAGGATTTCCTGAAAGCGCGCACCTGCGCGATCACGACGCTACGGAAGCCGGCAGACCTTTAAAGGCTTTAAATCTTTCTTTTCTCATTTCCACCAATCAGTTACAGTCTTGGATGTTTTGATCTGAATCCTTCCTCATGTTGCTCCTTTTTTCCAATGCTGTTCTGATGTCTGAGAGCGACTCGTTTTGATAGCATCTCCTTAAATAAAAATCCGGCACTTTACTCCCGACCAGCTCACAGAGCCTTTCACTCTCTCCATTTACGACATTTTTAGTTTGATAGCAGAGGTACGATTACCTAGCGGCACAGAAACTGGGGATCGACGTAATGAGTAAGGCTGTGTTTAAAAAAAAAAAGATTTCACAATTTAGATTCTAAATTGTGTTTGTCTAAACGTGTTTGGATAGATTTAGATAGATTCTCATTAACTGCTAAAGATTGATATAATCAAAGACTGATTTAACAGAGTATGCATTTTTCATTGTCCTTGAGTACCATTACTTTATTAGCTAACGGCTACAACACTTCTTTTAAACTAGCAATCCACTTTAAGACCAGAACAAACCAAAAATAGATGTTACAGCTGCTGACTACTATCAGATGATACTGGCTTACTTTTGACCGTATATAATGTAGCTAGCTAGGGTAACCCCTAAAAGCTAATGCTAGCTTATGTCAGCTAACGGTACCTTAAAGCCTCTCTTAAACATATACCCCACTCCAAGCATTCAAATCATTTGACCCTGCACTGGATATTTGGAGCCTAAAAAAACCCAGCAGAAAATGAATGAACATGAAGTCATCTCTTATTGGAAGACCGATTGTTAAAGTTTGTTGGATGTTCATCACGAGTAGACGTCACCTGAGTAGCTAAAACAAAGTAGATCCTACATCACTATACGATAAACATACTTTCCATATGTCCCACTGTGTGTTGCTGTCCTCTGAACATCAGCTAGCATACATGAGGTGGTGTTGTCAAGTTATGTGGGGTTTCTAGCTTCAGCTCCTCCCCAAACTTGAAAACGGCTGGTCATCACCAAGAAGGACGCTAGGCACAACTCAAATCCTTTTCCATTTTTGCTTTTTATTTGGGATCTTGGATTGGGATTTAGGTTGAAAACCTTTCAAACAAATTGACAAACAGAAGTGTATTAGTTTAAAACAAACAATTTGACCAACAGAAACTGAATTAGTTCAAAACAAAGATTTTCCACTGTGGCTCACCCATAAGCACAAACAAACTGAATGTTACCAGGCCACGAGCCATACTGCAATATCTTTTAACTCAACCTCAACTTTTATTTTTCAATAAACAATATAATAATAATAGCTAACTTTATTTTCTTCTTACCAGTTGTGTATCTGGTGATTAAACCATGAGCTTAAACATGCTTGCCAGGAGCCAGTCTCTTCCTTTGTCTGTCAAAACTGCCACACATGGGTGTGCAGGTGTTTTAATCATAGGAAGGCCCAACCCCCAACACAAGTTCACTCCTCTTTTCTCCTGTGCTTATTTTTTGACATGACAAGCGTTAAATATGCTAACGCTGTTGCCGCCGATAGTAGGGCCACCTGCAGTAGGTTAACGAAGTGTCCGATGTTTTCCTGGTATCAATGGGCCCAGAAGAGCCGCTTTAAGGTCCAGTTTAGTTTAACTCATTCAGCACAGGATCAGAAAACCAGATGTTTTCATTCTGCAGGTCAGACCCTTTGGCAGCGCTTCTTGTGGCACTGCAAGTCGCTGGATTGTCTGAAGGTTTTCCCACACAGTTTGCAGGAATATGACTTCTCCGTGTGCGTCCTCATGTGGTAGATCAGCCCCCCCCCTTGAGTGAAGGTTTTGTGACACACTTTGCAGGTAAACGGCTTCTCTCCTGTGTGAACCCTCATGTGGATGTTCATAGCGGCCCTCCTGACGAAGCCCTTCCCACACTCGCTGCAGGGGTAGGGCTTTTCCCCTGTGTGAGTTCTGACGTGACAGGTGAGGTTGTTGCTCCGGCTGAAGCGCTTGTGGCAGATGTGGCAGGAGAAAGGCTTCTCCCCCGTGTGCTGCCTCAGGTGGCGCACCAGGTGACTGTTCAAGCCGAACTTTTCCCCGCAAATCTTACAGGTAAACGGCTTCTCTCCTGTGTGAACCCTCATGTGGATGTTCATAGCGCCCCTCCTGCTGAAGCCCTTCCCGCACACACTGCAGGGGTAGGGCTTTTCCCCTGTGTGAGTTCTGACGTGACAGGTGAGGTTGTTGCTCCGGCTGAAGCGCTTGTGGCAGATGTGGCAGGAGAAAGGCTTCTCACCGGTGTGCTGCCTCAGGTGGCGCACCAGGTTACTGTTCAAGCCGAACTTTTCCCCGCAGATCTTACAGGAGAAGGGCTTCTCACCGGTGTGCCGCCTCAGGTGGCGCACCAGGTTACTGTTCAAGCCGAACTTTTCCCCACAGATCTTACAGGAGAAGGGCTTCTCACCGGTGTGCGTAATCATATGGCGGAAGGCATTGTACTGCGAAGTGAAGCGCCGCGTACACAGCTCACAGGAGTAAGGCTTCTCGTTCTGGTGCGTGTCTCGGTGGTCTTGCAGCAGCAACATGTTGGAGAACTTTTTGCCACAGGTCTTACAAACAAAGGGTTCGGGTTCATTAGAGTCTTCAGACTGCTGGGAGCTCACTTCTTCCTGCTCCTCTTTAATCTGCAGAAACCCTGGTTTCTTTGAATCCACACTGAGGAACCTTTCTGGCTCAGTTGGAACGTCTTCCTGATAAACATGGTTCTGTTCTGTTAAGAAAAAACACAATCAGAAAAAAGTAAGTTAGTCCACGGAGCTAAACCATAAAAAAATTGACAGTGGAGTCCCAGTTGGTTCTGCACTAACGGGTCGACTAGGAGGAGCTCCGATCTGGTCACTCTCAATATTTCTTCATCCGTTTTTGTGCAGTGGCTATTAATTTATATGAACAGAACTGTTAGAAATATTTTATTTACTCGGTTTGTGTTTCATGGGTTGTGTATTAATTAACTATTATGATGTATAATGTGTGATTCATCGTTTATTAACTCTTGCTAAAGATCGTTCCAGATACAGGTCATGCAACGGACGGGTTGTGAAGGAGGCCTGAACATCCTCTATCACATGTTTCTTCTAAACATGTGTTCTTGGAACAATTCAATTGTAAAACAACCACATGCTTTGTTTTAACATATGTGCTGAGGTTTAAAGTAAGATCATTTTGTTTCCCTTTCCCTTAGTTAAACCTCAGCCCCTGACTTAGACCTGCCAAGAACCATTGTAAAATATCTATTTATGATCACTATTATTATAAAATATAGTTTGTAATTATGGCTATAGCAAACAATGATTTTAGTGATCAGTGATTTTATCTTTAATTTTTATGATTTATTGAGAAACTGCTTAAAAACAGTAATACTCTAAAGAATATTCACCTATTTACCTAAACTTATTCTATGATTAATTGGAATACATAGGAAAAAAATGCAAAAACTTCAGATTTTCCTTTTGTTGTCGGAAAATTTTATTTTTGTTCTTTCCTTCTCAGTATATTGATGTATGCTATGTACTCTCTAAAAATGTTTTTTTCTTAGCTAGTTTGTCTCACTTGCAAGGCCACAAAATGTCTGAGTGGATTATAGACAAGACATACCTTTTTTCCATAACAAAACCACATACTTTTTTAGGTAACCGTTTAACCAAAGTGTCTGTTATTGTTTTGACTCTGCCTTAAAAGTAAGGGAACAACTTTATCTAACGTTAGAACTTGGCAGACCATCATGCTGTGAATGTGAATGTATTGTTCTCCTTTACTTTGCAAAGTAAATAAAGTTTCGACTGAGTAAATCCATCGATCTCCTTCATTTAACTGTACTAAACAGTTGAAAACTTTTTTTCACACAACACTTTCAATACAAAACCAAAAAGAAGGATGCTGGAAAGCATGGAGCATGTCTGGTGTAGTGTATCGTGTTTGGCACTGACGATAGGCCCCGCCCTTCCACTACACCCACTTCTGCTCTCATCAACAGTTTGTTTAAATGTTTGTTATTCAGTGGGAATAAAATAGTGTTGAAAAACTAACAATTAAATTCATTAAATTATAGGAATTAAAGTGAGAATAACAAACTAAAAAGTTGATGGTTTGACCAACAAGCTAAAGCCCGGCTCACATCGATTGTGACGACTTTTTAATCTCCAATCCCATTTATTCACACTGAAAGTATATAGAGAGGCTTCGACCAGGCAGGCTGAGCAGATCTAGATATGTGGAGTTTTTTGTTTACTTCGGTCTCTGTGCCCAAAGAACTGAAAAACTGTCCCACATTTGACTGGGAAGGATTATAAAAAACAAAACGGCACTTCCCCTACTTCATGACTCTGTGCCTATATTAAATACACCACAGGAACTAGATAAAAAGAAAAGGAAAACGCAGCAATAAAGGCTGTGGGGCGGTTTGTATGCTGGATAAGGCAGAGAGGCGATTCTCAGAGAGAGATCTGTGAAGTTTGTTCAAGTTTTTTTTCTTTTTTCATAAAGAGGATAGAGTGATGAGCTGCACTTACTTCCCTTTGTTTCTCTCAGATAGAGTGATAAACTGCTCTTTCTTACCCTCGATGTTTTGTTTTTGAGAGGTTAAAACTGGATCACTACTTTTTCTGTTTTCTGTCCCCCTGAACTCCTAGCATGGTATTCTTTTTTTAAATGTTTCTTTTATTTTTGTGCCAGTCTGCCCCATCTGCTTTATATTTGCTGTACGACTCCAATCCGGACAGTTTTCCCTGAGATTGACACATTTTAGCCCCATTTACTCTACCCTTTTGAAACCGTGCTGAGATTGGTCCGAGCACGGTAACCAAGATAACTGTTGAGTTTAAATGGTACGCAGAACTGAACCGGACTGTGCCAGACACAACCGAACCGTACTAACATGGTACTACTTCATCAGTAGGGCTCAGCTTGGTTCAGTTCTGGCTCGGTTCACAGATAAAGAGCGCATGAGCAGATCGCGTCATCTCCTTACAGTCAGCCTTCTTAATCAGGAAACTTCATAGATTCTTAAAAATCCTAGCTTCCCTACCGTGCCACACAATTTCCAGTGATGATTCTGGTTCGCAGTGTGATGAACCTTGACCGTCTGTTGTTGTTTCTTGCGTCTGTAAGCCCTGAGTAGACCATCGTTTGTCGTATCCACTTCCTAGAAGACGACTGTCAAGTAATTCACCAAAGGCTGCCTTCTTCGCCTGACTCTCCGCAATCTCCCTAAATGTTGCAGGCGCCACCATGTTGGTTTGCTTTTTTACCTCTAGAGAGAAGTAGTACCATAGATTGCCACTAGGAGACGAGGAATCATGCTAGTGTGGTGTGTAAATGGTCAAAGGTAACTTTTAAATGGGGCTTTTATTTTGTCTCTCGTCTTGTCAGACCCATGAAATTGCTGGTGAATTGCTGCATAGTCCGACTGAAACAGACCTGGGGTCTACCTTAGTCAGAGCTACGCAGCCCTCTGCAGAGAATCGTGTCGAGTGCGATCATCTCCACTGACTCTCAATGAGAGATAAACGCCACTACTTTGTCCAATAAGATTTCCTGTCAGATCGGATCATCAAGGGGGTCCAATCTGAACATGATGACTTGGTATGAATGGAGTCTGGTGTGCTATTGTTTGGTTGGAAAGAAAACTTGCAGCCACAATGCCCTTTCTGGAACCATTTTGACAATTGTGCCCTAGAGATTCAGAACCCAAAATAATTTTGCCGGTCCAAACTAAAAAAGAACCAACAGCTGAACCTAAATATGGACTTAACAGACCCAGTGAGGCCCTTAATAATCTAGATTAAATGGGTTCAGATTAAGGCAGTGGGCTAGTCTCTGTTCCAGACCTGTTGGGTCATTAGGACCATTGCAGTGTTTCGTACCTGGTATTTGGACGTTTGCCGGGTCGTCTTCAGAACTCCCCGATGGTTCTGCGCTAGTGGACTCTCTATGTCGAGGCACAAAGGCATCAAACTCCTTCCTAAGCAGTGGACTCTCATCGTCATGTCGGGTCCAGAACTCCAATTTTCTGGATTTATTCTGCGGAGATTCTGGGTCTTCTGATTCCTGATTATCTTCTGATTCCAGGGGTTCTGGTTCCTCCAGGTCCTCCTTGGTATCCAGGTACTCCAACTCACCCAAGTCGTCTATAATCTGTGGACATCCTGGTTCTGACAGGGCCTCTTCGATGTCAAAAGTTCCTAACTTGTCCAGGTCGTCTATGGTCTGCCGACTGTCTGGCTCCGCCAGGGTCTGGTCCATTTGCAGAGGTTCTGGTCCACACTGTTCATCTCCATTCCGAGGAGATTCTGGATCATCCAAAGCTTCTTCTCCCTGCAAAGGTTCTGGCTGCTGCTGAGCCTCTTCGGTCTGTGGAGGTTCTGGTTCTGTGAGGTTCTGTGTGAAGTCAGGGGGATACAGCTCCACTTCCTCCTCTTTGATGCGTGGAGGTTCTGGTTCTGTGAGGTTCTGTGTGAACTCAGGGGGATACTGCTCCACTTCCTCCTCTTTGATGCGTGGAGGTTCTGGTTCTGTGAGGTTCTGTGTGAAGTCAGGGGGATACTGCTCCACTTCCTCCTCTTTAATGCGTGGAGGTTCTGGTTCCACCTTGTCATGAACACAAAGACTCCCGTAGTCGGTCAGAACCTCTTCCTTATAAACCCGTCTGGGAGGAAGTCCTGAGGAGACAGAGAATATCATCATGATCATGGCGATCCAAAAGATGTTCTGAACTTCAGAACCACCAACAATGCAACACCAGGATTAGTCTGTGTTCTGATAACTGAATCTGGTTCTGACTGATGGGTTCATACAGAACAATGATGAGTTCAGTCCAAACAGACTGAGTCCAGTTCCACCAACAAAACAGTATCAGAACCTGCCAGTAACACCTCCCGCTATAGAGTGGCAGTAATGGGGTTTGCTGAGTGGCACCGGACCTCTAGTTTCTGCGACCCGAACCGCCTAAAGCACCAACTTTTGCTCTGTTCAAATTCCTAGGACGCGTCCTCCGAAGGCCAGATTCGAAGGACGATTACGTCATAGCGTGGCGCCGAGGTCTGGTCGGATTCCAAGAGTCCTCGTTATGCGACCTTAAAATGCGTCCTTCTTTTTGCCCGATTTCAAGGACGGGTCCGATGTATCCTCACTATCCTTGGATATTCCAGAATTCATTGCGAGACCAAGCATGCCGGCTGCTCCGTGATCAGTGGTGAATATTGGAAGTTCAGTTTAATATAATCCAGTCAGTGAATAGCTCCGTCTGAGATTAATGAAAATAGTTGTTTTAATAGTTATAGAGTCAGATATGTGGCGATAATGTTTGATTTATCTAAAGGTTTTTATCTGTTACTGTGTAAATGGGTTTGGCTGGAATTTAAGGACAGATTCTAATATATCTGCAGGGTGGAGACTATAAATCTGATAGGAGTTTAATTTCTTTTATTGCCATTTTGCACAATTTGCTTAACTAAGACTTTTTTTGTGGAATATTAGAAATTTTGCAGATACATTCTTTATACATACATTGTTTAGATTTACTTATATATTTCTACCCCTTTTAATAGAATAGAAAATCCCTTTATTGTTCCAGAATGGGCAAATTTACAGCAGCAGAAAGATTATTGAAAATGGTCACACAAATGTGGACCTTAGAAAAATGTCTAACAATAACATAGTAGGAAATCCTGTAAAGTGTTTTAACAATATAAAACTGGAGAATAAATAACCAATATCCAGCTATGGAAATTTTTACAATAATGGATATTCGAAAAGAGATGTGCCAAATGACAGCAGCATATTATTTATTATTTAACTGACTAAGGTTTTTATCATTACATTTGATTTTATTTGTTCCTGCTCCCGGTGGTTGGAACCTTTATTCCACTCAATAAAAACAGTTTTTTAAACTTCGGTTTTCATTCTTTTACTGCTTTGTGCGTCAACTTTCACGAAGGGTAGACCTGTTCGGATTCACAGCCCAAACTCTTCCGGTCTCCTTTTTTTCACGGACTTTGAAGGATCCAGTCCTGGTAGGTCGCGTCCTTGGAGGATGCAGCCCAGGAATTCAAACATTGCCTTTATGTGGCATTATACAGAGAAGAGCAGAACTCTAGATGTAGAGTTCAGAACTCTAGAATTCAAAACTCTAGATGTTGAGTTTTGAAAGCCTGAGGGCGAGCAGCTCAGGAACCCTCCATGGACTCGTTTCAAGGCCCTCAGGACATTTTAAACCTGAATATTCTGTTATCAATAATAAGGCCTAATTTCTTTCACCGCTTTGTTCTTTCTCCGTCCTTCAGTGTATCATCGATTGTCTGCTTGTTTGTTTCTCAGTCCAATCAGTTTCCCCATTGCGGGACGATGAAGACAGTGATGAACCTGACAAATGAAGATGTGGATGAAACTTCCATCTCATACCCCTTTCCCACTGGCCAGTCGGTCTGATCTAACAAGCAGAAACACTCTGTTTCCATCCGATAAACATTAGGGATGTAACGATATTGACATTATCTGCTATCGCGGTGGTAAACGTGTCTTGATATCGTCGTGGTTGGGTTACAATAATAAAAGGGCAGGTGTCCTTCAAAAAGCAAGAGGAATTAACACAGTCCCGCAGAAAAAAAATCCTTAACTGCATAGACCATGATCCTTTGCGCTGCGTCCTCATACCAACCTTAAGCCAATAGGATTGCACGCAGATTGCACGCTGTCCACACAAGCTCCCAGCAAGCTAGCATGGCCGACAGCAATACTTGTAAGGATGAAAACAACCCCGAAGTTGAGATTGTGTCCGCCCCTGCAGCTTTTAAGTCAGATGTCTGGAAACTTTTTTTTTCGCCGTGTCAAAAAATGCAAAAGGAGAGAAGATGGTGGACAGACAATGGACTATATGCAAGCACTTAAAGGGAATTCCCTATTGTTTACAATTGTTCTGGTTGCTTCTTAACTTGAACATTGCACAAAAGAATGAACAGAATATTGATGTTCCTGACTACAACTTGCACTTTAAAAGCACTATGTGATCAGCGTTTTATGTTGTCATGATCCATAAATACAACAATAAATTGCCTGTTGACTGGCAAAAGCAGAAAAAAATGTCTGTATTTTTTTGCTATTATCGTCACAACCACTATCGTAAGTTATTTAACAGTACCGTGAGCTTTTCCACAATATCGCAATAAATATGGTACCGTGAGGTCAATATTGAAATTGTATCGTACCGTGACATTTTGATATCGTTACATCTAGGGCTGCAACTAACGATTATTTTGAAAATCGATGAATCGGCCGATTATTTTTTCGATTAATCGATGAATCGGACACAAAATATTTTTTTATATTAACCTCTTTATTCCAAAATAAACATTTTAAACAGAACAAAGAAGCACACAAGTACAGGTTGCTCATTAACTGTCCTGGTGCTATATGAAAAATAAATGTTTGTTTTAAAACTACGCAAACTTACATGAGAAATGTAGCTGTACATCCACAAAATATAGGGTACTTTGTTTCATAAAGCGCAAAAAGAGACAGGCATTTTTGTTTTTTAAAGCCCCTAAGGGGTTCAAACAATAGGCCCCCCCCATTTCAACAAATGAGGTTTTTTTAGACTAGAAGAGTTCTGCCTTTTAAGACAGGAAAGTATAGCAGTTAAAGTTGCTACTTGAGAAAATACTGAACCATAGAGATAAAAATAGCCCTGTGATTCAAATTATAAATTGTATTTGGAATAAAAATGAGAGAACTAGGGGTGCTAAAAAACACATCCTCCAAAGACAGATATTTACATGGGAATGTGGCATATAATTAATTGACATATTACTGATCTTGCTGGATTTTATTCTGCTTTACTTCCATAAATTGCAGGATCTTCTTTACTTTATCTTTGCCAGAAGATTTAAACTTTAAAAGCCTTGCCCTCATAATTTGCAAATTAATTTATTTATAAAGAAAATATAAACGCTGCTTAAGCTAATTCAAATGAAATTAAAAGTAAAATAAGTAGCCAACCTTATTACTGTCTGTAACCTACTAACACGGTAAGGAAAGCATCAGATGAGCTACCTGAGAAACTAACTTACGTTTCCCCACTTTAAAATGAAACAAACATGGTTACTCATCCTGCTGATCAGCTATCTTCACTGCCATTGAAGGCTCCAACGTGTTTTCTTTTCAGGTGCTGCGTCATAACAGTGGTGCTTCCGTGCCAGGTTCATTTGTTTTTACAAAAGTTGCATGTTACGACTTTTTTCACTTTACAAAGCGCAGGCTATTTTAATTATTGTGATCAATTTGCGCCGTCAATCCCGGGGCATGCGCGCTTCATTTGCAGTCTGGACGCTGAGGGTAAACTCCTCACTAAAATCCTGCGGCTCGGACTGCAGCGCTGAGAGGGATTCTTGTGGGAGAGGGAGAAAGGCGTTGGGATGGGGGAGGCGCCCCACGGCAGCAGCTGCCGCTGGAGGACAAGAGTAGGAACGATACATGCTTTCACGTAAGAGTCTCCAAAAGCCGCCAGTGACATCGTAAAAAGTCGCCAGATTTGTCGCTAGTCGCTTTTAAAAAAAATAGTCGCTGGAGGGGTCTGAAAAGTCGCTGAGTTGGCAACACTGCAACTGCGGCGCTGACTCGCTCCGCCATATTTTTTTTTCTTCCCTGGGATGACGGCGCGGCGGATGACGCATTAATCGCGCGACACAACTAATCGATGATTAAATTCGTTGCCAATGCTTTTAAAAGTTGATTTTTATCGATTTTATCGATTCGTTGTTGCAGCCCTAGTTACATCCCTAATAAACATGGAGCAGCTCTGGTGAGGAGTATTCAGACAGATAATAGAGCGAAACAATAAATAACACTGACTACGCGGTGGCTTCCTTCCATGTTGCTCTCCAATGTTTACTTTCCTGGTTTCTGTCACACTGGTGACATTATCAATGCTAACCCACGTGTTGGTGTCACCACACATGCAGCTGTAGGGGGTCAGAGGCCACGGAGCTGCCAGCAAGGGGTTAGATCAGCTTTTATTGCCAATGGGAAGGGAGCCAGATGCCAATTGTTAGCGAGTCGACACATGTTTAAAAAACATATTTTCATTGGGAAAGAGGCTTTACATTGAAGCCGATTCTGATTTCTAACCAGGAAAACCTAAAATAATAACAATCACATCTGGAGATCATCAAAAACATTTAAACACAGAAAATAAAACTGTTAGTGCTGGAAAATAAGATTAAGCGAAGAAACAGGAAACAGGATTTTAAGCTGGAGAAAATGGAGAAGACAGGATGAAACGAAAGGACTGGAGACGGTCCGAATGATCGACTCGAAAATAATAACTATTAATTGAACTTTATTAATCTCCCAATGGAGAAATTCACTTCTGCATCTTAACCCATCCCCTTGGGGAGCAGTAGACTGCCACTGTGCGGCGCCTGGGGAGCAGCGTGGGCTTAAGAGGAAACAATGACGTATTCAACTATAAGAATTGGACCCATTTCCATTCACAGCCATCCCATAATAATGCTGGATCGTGTAGTCTCCACACGTCCAGTAAAGCCAGAAAAAAAAGACGAAAGAATAAATAAAATGATTTTAATGGATTTTCCTTAAATTGACCCGACAGTTATTCATAAAACCCCTGAAAAGATGCTTTATTTTAACATTTGTGAGACAAAGG